ACAGAAACGTAAAACAACACTCCCACTGCCTCCTCCCACAAAAACAGTAAATCTAGGTAGGAAAGATAACCTACTGAGCACTAACCACCATCACCACCATCGCACCACCTACATTAAACAGAGCCAACTCCCCAACTCACATCAAACGCCATCCCATCAACATAGCGCAGTCATCCGATCACTTACTTACAAAATTCAAATCCATGGAATCCGATTCGCCCACGGAAACGACGAGAGGAGGGGAAACATAGAAACATAAAAACATAAAAGCCACACCCTCGCAGCAGAGCCATCATACATCCATCCGCCTCATCTCTCCACATACAAGTAAACTTACCGTCCAGTCCTCCCACCACAGCAGCTCCATACAGTGCATACGGAAGATAGATTCCAAGAATAGCATATCTACCTACCCGATCCCGGTGTACTTCTCGACGCGAGAATTTCCCCCCGAACTCCCCCAAAAAAGAGAGAGAGGAGTGGAGGGGACGGAACTCAGGAATGAATGATGTACCGGGAGATGAGCGAAACTGTGGATACAGCATCGGACATGTGAAAAAGGAGGGATGAAGAGGATGGCGATGTTATGGAAAACCGGCCTGGAGAAAGTTTAAAAGTCGGATCGGGAGAGGGATTTCGGTACGGTAGGTATTGGGGATGGAGAGGGTGGAGAGGGTAGGATAGATAGGATTGGATTTCTTGGATTGGAGTCAGTCCACTCTAAAATTGGAACTGATACTCGGGTTTACGAGTACGGAGGAGGTGGACATGATCTACAAGTCTATTTTGGGTTGCGTTGTTGGGTGCGAGGTTTGTGGTGTTGCTCGGTAGGTGGTTTGTTTGTAGTGCTGGTTGGACTGTTTGATAAATTAGCTAGATGTGTAAGAATGGATATCGAATCAGTGATAGGATCGATCTACAGTATTTACTCTACCGATATCAATTGTCAATTCCTGTTTTGGAGAGTAGATTATCCGAACTGTTCACCCTCTCTACCTCTCCTCACCCCATCAACCCCACCTCAAACTCTCTTTACCCCGCCAAGTAGACCGAAGGTAGCCACTTGATTTTCCAACTCAGTTCCTGGCTAGAAACGATAAGGGTTTTCGTAGCGCTATCTCTCCGTACTGTACCATATCTAAAAATGCTTCCTGTCTCGTCTCAAAGGAGCTAGGAATAGAACCAAAACAAAATAAAAAGGTGTTCGACCACGTAGATATAGTACTACTCATACGAAGGGGTCCTCCATGAAAATGCAACATCTCATTTCCAAGCCTCAGTCACTCACCCACCCATTCAATGAGTGGAAGGCCCAAAATCGAAAATGGGCAAAAAGAGGAGAGAGGAGAGGGATGCCCGACCAGACCCAGGATCAGGGAATCACCTGGGGGAAATGTGAATGGTACTGCTAAAGGCGGCACCCCGACACTAGCAGCACCACGGCACACGCAGCTCCGGTCCTTGCCAGTGCCATCATCGACCAGGGATCGCTCGCATGGGTTTTCCTTTTTTTTTTCTCGTCCTCCTTCAGGGATGTGAGGTGGTGGTGCTAAACCTTAAAATGAGCACCACCACACCATGTGACGCTGAGGCGGAATGGGGAGAACCGACGCGGAGTCAGTACGGTACGCAGCTGTACTATAGAAATTATACGACGCTAGTGCCCGAAGGAGCGGGATTCCAGATTTCGTGGTGTCGATGAACAATTAGGGGCCTGGGCTGAGCCTGAGCCTGAGAGGCCGATGAGTTTTCAGCATGTGCTGTGCTGTGCTGGAACGAAAGTCGCGCAGCGCACCCTTTCCTTTCCCTCCACATGGCTCCAGTTTTCACATTGGAGAAAATACTTCGGTAGGTTCCTCTGAAGGTAATATTGGATCGATGATCATTGGCTCCCAATTCCCATCCACCAAAACCCAGATGCAGAAGCAGAAGCAGAGAGTGGGAGAGCAGGGGTAGGTGGATGGTCGGCTAATTGGTCTTGAAAGTTTCAACCAGCACCCACACCCCTCATTGGCTATTTGTGGGGGGGTCTGCTTCCTTCGTGTTTTCATTGCATATGCCATGCTCAGATCGCTCAAAGACTCTTCTCCTCCCAAATTCTCCAATTCTCCGCCCCAAGGCCCCAGCTTCCCAGCCTCTTCTACCAGTACAGTACGTTAGAGTTCATGATTTGGAAAGAGGCATGGCAAGATCTGCAACGTGAAGTCAATTCCATCGCCCCTCAACAGCCAGCGGCGTCAGCAGAGGCAGCACGATTTCGTGCTCCGCACTCGGTACAAAAGAGGACGATCGTGAAGTACAGTCATGTCCAAACACATAATTGCTGACCGTTGCTTCTTTGATGTGAACCGGTGGCCCACGGATGCATAGATGCACCGTGACGAGCTCTTCGGCCCAATCGTGGTCTCACTTTTCACTGCGGTGGGGGTGATAGAATTTGAGCAAAGGTTTGATGTTGCGTCTCGAATGTGGGATTGAGTAAAGGTCCGATGTTGCGTCTCGAACGGAATGCAGGATGGAGTAAATGTTAAAATCGGTTATGCCTGGGATGAAGTATGGACTGGGACTCGGATGGACGGTAGAGGAGGAAAGGAGGACTGAGGAAAGGGAGTAGCGATACCAAAAACCCCAACGGAACTTGGACGCGCGTTCCCGAGACACGGTAGAAAGTCAACAAGGTTATTGTTGAAGTCTGAAGTCAAAATGCCCATGTACATACATGTATATTCAGGGACGTGATGTTGTTATCCAGAGACGCCTCGCCTCGGATCGCCCGTAATCAAGCGACCTTACTTTAAACACCTCCCTTGCTCGCCTTGTGTCGCATTCGCATGGCATTTACGATGGGATTGTGGTCACAGTAGCGACGCTTGGCATGAACTCACCACTAAGAGGCCCCGATAGTGTCACCTGGGAGTGTCCATCGTCCAGCGCCCGCGCCCGGATTCCATTAACCGTTGCGGCGGGAGAGCTACTGCGCGTGCTTCTTAGTCCAGTGGCCTCGACTAGAGGGAATCGACAAACAACCTAGCCTAGCATCCGGCGGAGGAGCTTATCGAGATAGCTTCACTTTTATATCAACGTCGTTTGGGGGCCATTCCTCTCCTTCACATCGCACTCTCCTGCTGGAGAAGCCCTCGAGGGGTCCAGACGCGGCGATGAAGAGGATTGTGACACTTGGTCGACAGCTGCATAAAAAGAGCCCCATGGGTCGAATGAGACCCTGAGCTGAGAAGACGGTGAGGAGTGGAAAGCCCCAAACCGGCACCCATCGCGGACACGTTAACGATCTGCGAACACATGAGCTGTGAACTTTTGCTGACCCCAGTTGGAGTATCGATAATGGAAGGCTGGTCGGGGATAGAGGAGAGGAGAGGAGAGGAGAGGAGAGGGAACCGGGGACCGCCTGGAGATAATGAAGGATGAGCCGTAAGGCACAGCAAACAAACCCAACAAACACCGGGACTGGTTCGTCATTCGCGCTTTCCGTCTTCTCCCTGAATTCTCGTTCGCCTTCTGGAGTTGAAGAAACTTACCTTGGGTTAGCCGGGGATTTTTCTTTGAGCAATAAGCGTACTCGTACAGTTGTTTTTACGGGAGCAGCACAGAGCCTCCACGCCAACTGTCTTTCCAGAAGAAAGTGGGAGCAACATGTCCCAGATAGTAGCATCAGCATGCGACACATTTGTCCTCAAAGCAGAAGGTGGTATACCAAGGTGCCGGTGCCCCACGGTATTCCCCAAGCCAATTGATAGCAGGAAACAGCGGCTAAAAGAGTCCGTAGCCAAGGGTCGGGTCGTGGTTGTCGAGGAATTGCATCGAAACAACATGTCCTGGTATCTTAGTAGTTCTACAGCCGCATACTCTGCACCCGGAGCTTGCTAGCGTAGCAGTTGGTATTTACAACAACAGACCGGAAGCGAAAAGTCATCAGGGATACCGGATCATCGGGGAGTGCTTCGGGTAGAAGACGGTTCTGTTTGGCTCGACCTGGATGATTATTGTCATCTGGTGGTGCTCTTCTGACATGACTGACAGCTCATCTATCACCGCTGCCCCCTCTCAACCACAGCTCCAGTTCCAGCTCCAGCTCCAGCCTGCTTCTGCTAGGGTTCCTTGGTGAGCTCGACTCCGGCCAAGAAAACTCAAAATATATGCATACAATCCCCGCACACACACCCGTCACGTCTGGTAGAAGTAAGTTGACCCAGGCAGCCGTGGCGGCCTGATGTAAATTCAACGTCATCATCCAAAAACCCAATTCGGTGTGAACATACAGTACCCACCCAGTCCAGTACAGTACGGTAGATCCTGTAAGGCAATACGCATGTTGACACTACTGACACTACCCCATCTTCTACAAAATTGCCGCTGTTTGAAACAAGTCGTGCATTTGCCTGCCCCGAAAGGTTCTTCCATCTGTAAATGTTCTGGCTCGTTTGTTCGTGGATCGCGGGACCTGGTGTGTTGTGCTGCGTTGAGATTGAGAAAATGTCTTGCCCGCAGCAGTACGATGCAAGCCACGTCCAATACTAACCCGGCATCGATTTGTTGGCCGCCTCAGCATGGAGATTGCAGGGTATCAACACATTCCCAGTCACTAGAAGTCGCTTTCGCCGTCCAGTGCCTTCTATGGTTGACCTTAACAGCCGAGTTATTTTTTTATGTAACAATTTGGTACAGTACAGTACGATAGTAGGATACTACTGTACCTAGGTAAGATATTAGAATAGAATCTTCTCTAGTACTTCTTTTTAGAGTATAGAAGATATAACATATTACTCAGAGCTTATAGTCTCTAGGGTCGAAGAGAGTAGTAGTGTGATCATGTACGGAAAATGTCCGTCTCCTGTTGGTGTTCGTTTTAGAGGTTCTTGAGTACTCTGTACTTACTGAGCTGAGCAAGCATAAATCGCCAAGGGTGTGTGAGGTCACCGTCACGCTCGCCACCCGAGTTGTCTGCCCTCGAAATTCCTAAACATCCCATCAAGAAGTGATCCAGCAAAACTTACGAGTGAAAATCGTAGTTGAGGCTGTGATACAGTATCTTTCTTTCGCTTGTGCACCTGTCCCTACATGATACATCGGCACATCAAGCGCGAGAGTGTTGGGCGCAATCCTTTGTTCACTAGGGACCCCATTTATCCCCATCCCCATCCCCATCCCCATCCCTCGCCTCGTTGCAGCAAGAAATCCTTAGTGCGGTGCCTCCATCTCATACCCGCGCATCTGGGTCGCCTACACAAGCGTCGCCCTAAATCCAAACGCAACGCCATCCTTCTCAACGGCCGAACGTGACCAACGCAACGCAGCAGGCCTCGAAAAAACGTCGAATTCGACGTATTTTGGGCCCCGAAAAAGCTCAACTCCTGCGGAAACAAAAGTCGTCGGTGGTGTCTCTGGCACTCTGCCGCTAGATTTTGCCACCACTCGAGAGCAAAGGCCGTGTTTTCCGAGTGTTTCTTTGCCCTTGACGTCTGGTGTGCTTGCATCCCGCTCCCTCCCTCCGCTCCCCCAGGTCAGGGATCTTTCCGAGGCCGCTCAAGCATTGCAAGCAACGCTAGTCAGCGATCAAGTTAGCCTCTCTTTCATTTATTCCCATCCTGCAGCATCGCATCGCATCGCGAACACTGTATTTTACTCTGGGCATCGTCCTTTGACCGTCGAGCACCTTTGTATCAACCACCAAGAGGTGTGCCATTGTGTCCTGACATTACAAGTATTCTTTGTCTTGCGTGCCAACTAACGAATGCCCGCAACAGGAGAATTTCGAGCCTCGAACGCGGTCCAAAGTTTGACGTTTGGCAGGAAAAAGCAACACTCTCAAAACGAATACTCGCTGTGACTTGAGGCCCTTCGCACCCGTGCCAGTAGACTAGTCATCGAGGAAGCCCAAACTTCCTCCAACCGTTCCCCATCACCTCGTTTGACAGACACTCGAACTTTGCGACCAGCCTTCCCCCCAAGGTCGCGCTGCTCACCACGGGGCGCAATTCAAACGGAGACGGCTTCGATAGAGTTGACACCAACCATCTGCCACACATCAAAGCTCCGTACCTCCCACGAACTACAGTGCCAGGCGACGGCGTCCTGCCAAAGGATACACTTCCAAAATATAGATTAGACGGACTGAAGAAAACGGTGGAAACGGTGGCGCTTGTGCTAGACGACGAAGAGAAAATAAAGAACGGACGACCTGACGCTTCTGCCCTTGAAACTTCCTTGAGAATAACACCCTTCTTCCTCGGGGACAAGACTTCTTGACGACCTCCTCGATACGTGGTTTGTCGGATCGTATTGTCTATTGTGCTCCCTTGGTGACATCAGAATCAACGTCTGAGTTTAGACTACCCTTTGCAGCACACATCGACGACGTACTGTATCCATCATCGAAGAATCAGTGGAAAGGAGCGTGATCATTCAGAGAAACACTGTTACAGCCACTTGGCGGCATCAAGTTCTTTCCAGATCTCGGCCACGAGGAAGGCTCCGACTTACTCGAGCTCTAGAAGAAGCCCAATAGAAGAACTTCACACATCTTGTGGCATAGAGTTTCGCGCTAGTCCCCCTTGTGCCGAGCTCTACGCCATTCATCTCTGCTAGCAAAAGAGTTTTGGAGTGATCCTCAAGTGCCGCTGAAGAATCGAGACTCGACGCTAGGTCTCCTGTGCGGTACGGTTAGACCAGGACTAAGCTACGCACTAAGTTGACGCTACTAGCAGATCCGAAGGTCTATCTGAATCCGCAATCGATCGACGACGGTTCCTGGAAGGGAATAGCGGAATCGCAAGGAGAGCATCAGCAAGTGGCGCATCGCTATCCGTGGAGCCTGGAGAACTGGATAAGCAATTGGGGGAGGAGAGCCAAGAAGACTTGATCGCATTGAGAGTTGCGGAGAATTTCAGGCGCAGGAAGGACTCCACGAGAAACTTTCAGATCCCATCCCCATCCCTCTCCCGGACGGACGGACTGCGAGACATTGCCAGACTGCACATTGCACATTGCACATTGCACATTGACACACGGAAGCTGAGGTTCTTGCGTGTCGACAGAGCGATTGGATTTGCATCCGGAGGGCGGAGTAGCATTGCCGACCACGGTGTCATCATTGGTGGTGTCCTGTTGAGTCTCTTGCTTCATCGCCATCATCCTGTACCCCATCCCAGGGCCCCGCCCGCATCGATATCTTGGTTGGGAGTTTGAATCATTTTGAGCTTCAGAGAACGGCAATTGTCGAGCTCCCCCCTCTTTCCCCAGCCAGCTACCCCTTGAGAACATCACTTGTGTCCAAACTGGTGGCAGAGGCTTTTGTGCCGTACTCGGTACCTGTACAGTCTGAGTCTACCGACTCCATACGGTTGGAGTACCAAGTACCCAGTACTCGAACGCTTTCTGATCCGTTTGAAGTACTGTTGAGCATCGTATCCTGTCTCGGGCCTAGTCGAGGACCCTCCGCCGCGTAACAGGCCACCGCCTCGCTCTCGCCTGAGACCGCGAGACCCTGAGATTGATTGATACTGGTACTGTATTGGAGTAGCGTACAGTACGTACAGTACGTACAGTACTCTGTCGATACTGGGCAGTTGTGCAGTTGTGCAGGATCGTATCTGGACGGTAGAGCGCTCCCCATCCTTGCCGGCAAGCAGATTCCAATAGCAGCAGGCCGACCACCTGGAGATTCCTTTTGGCAAGCGTTGACGATAAGTGGAAGCTGGGCATCGCATCTTCCAAATTTGAGTTTGTGGTGGAGTCGTAGTGGAGCCGCCTCGTCGCCCCTCAGCCAGAGGCCGCCCAGTGGCCAGCAGTGGCCAGCAGTAGCCACCAGGAGTAGCCACCAGCCAGACCAGCCAGTGCAGGCCAGCACTAGTACACGACCACCATCACCACCACCACCACTTCTCCTCCCACCAGAACGCGCCTTCTGTGCCCTCCCCACTGCCTCCACTGCCTCCCCTCTAGCCCTCCTGCGATCCCTGCCGAGAACGCTCGACCGTCACCACTTCTCGAGTCTCCACTGCAGCGTCTCCACCTTCTCCCCCCCATCGACATCGAATCCCCAGCGATCCCCACTCTTCTGCCTTGCCCTAAGGCGGCTTCGAGTCAAGCGCAGTGTCTGCAGTGTCTGCAGCGCTCCCCCCGTCCTGCTCATAATCGACTAAAATCCCCACGGTCCTCGGTCTTAACCTCTCTCGGCCAACGCACCCTCGACTCCCTCCGCCTCCATCCCACCACCAAGCGCGCATCGCCTGCTCACCCAAAAAAGAGTCCTACTATTTCGGATACGTACTATACCTACCCAAATCCATCGCACTACTACACTAAGGACCCCGCCGAGACCCCCCCAATACTTCTCAACAATCTCCAGTGTAGACGTCGCAATTATTTGTGCTCTGAGATTCAAGAGTCATCATCAATCGAGAGAGGAAAGAAAAAAAAGTTCTCACGTCACAAAAATAAATCTCCCCACGCCGTCGCGCCAAAGACGCGCCGTTCCAGCTCCCCCCCAAAAAAGTTGCCAGTCCGCTCAACTCCATCCGACTATATCTAGTGGCGCTTCCCCCCGTCCCTCCTGACGACACTACACTACCTTACGTACCAAACCCTGCACGCACGCACGCAACTATACCTACTACTTCTTTCTACTATCCATCGGTGGCTTTCATCTGACAACCACCTTGGTCGGTCGTACCTACTACCTACCACTTCCTACGACACACCCCCAATTCACCTCGGTCGACTCTACATCACTTCGGCGCATTGCAAAGCCTTGCACCACCATCGGCGCCCCTCGACTCCACGAGCTCCCTCGGATTCTCCAAGGTGAAGTCAAAAGCCCTTCTTGCTCTTGCCATTGCCCTCCCGGCTACGGCTATTCGAAAGATTAGTGAGTGAATTGGCATTGTTACGTCCAAGCACCTGCATTATCAGAATCGCTCCAGGTCGCGACTCCCCACTATCCACTATCCCGCTCTCCGCTCCCTTACTCCGTCCGGTCTGAAAAGGGCAGTCGCACTACGCTTGTGCAAATCCACTATACCATACCACTCTCACCACGTTCTCGTCCTCTCTAGATATTCTTCTAGAGCTATAGTATGTCCTTGGTAGCTTCACAACATCATTTCACCCATCAATCCCACTCGACCGCGACAGGCGACGATCCCAAGTCACCCCCGGACCACACAGAAGCAGCTCTGAGCTCGCTTCTGGGAGCCTATACCAACGCCGATCAGAACCCTATGGATAGAAGTGGTGCATCCGAGTTTCCCCAGTCAGGTTTGCACTCATCATATCCTCACGCCTTGACCAACGCTCAATCTGAAGAAACAACTGCAGATACCCCATCTGCTCCTCAGTATCCTTCTCAAGCAGAGGTCAAGCCAAGTCCAAACCAGGCTCAGAACCAGTACTCGACCGCCGTGACGCCTACCTCCGAATTCTATCCCACCTCAGCGCGTTCGGGTTCTTTTCCAGATCCCAATCTTCATCGAACCTATCACCCAGCTAGCAACCACAGCGGTAGCAGCGGCATGGCTCAACCAAACAGTCCGTCTTTGCCCATGCAGGATGGCAGCTCCAGTCATCAAAATAATCAAATCAAATCTGACCAGGATGTCTCAATAGATCCTTCAATCGCGGCTTCGAGTCCTACCTACGCTCACGGCCAGTACTCGCCATACCCCTCGCAGCAAGAAATGCAGCACGGCTATCCTTCCCACCAATCTGGCGGCATGTATACTCAACCTCGACCTGACTGGGCTGGCTACGCTGGTCAACAGCAACCTCATCCCATGGCAGGAGGTTACCCAGTGAGTGGTTCACATCCGCCTCCTTCAACGGCCACAGCCAACCGTGGAGGTCAAGGAAATCAGGTAAGCTTCAATCTCTTCTCCAGTATCTCCAGTATCTCCAGTATCGCCCATAATTCCCTGGCTACGAAAGATGCATAGAAAACTGGATATGCGCTGGGTCGCCTCTAAGATCAATGGCACCTTTGCGTCAAGACCCCCGCAGCTTTCAATCAAAATTTGATGTAGATGGAATCTCTGAGTTTGCCGAACTGAATTGTTTTTTTAAAGCAGGTTTACTCTTTTGTTCCCATTCCTGGTGCTCAACAACACAAACGACCCCGTCGACGATACGAGGAAATTGAACGCATGTACAAGTGTGGCTGGAATGGATGCGAAAAGGCATACGGTACATTGAATCACCTCAATGCCCACGTCACCATGCAATCGCATGGTCAAAAGCGCACACCAGAAGGTATGTTTATTTTGTATACCCCCCTGAATCACCGTTCGCACAAGCGATCGTGTTCCTGCACTCTCCCTGCACTTGCAGCGTTGCGTTCGCGCGGCGGGTCCAGTGTCACGTTAAATGGGCGATGCTGAATTGTTCAACGTCGTATCTCGAAGCTGCCAAACTTTGAATGGCGCTTGCAAAATTATCCGAGTCTTAGTGCCTGTGCGGTCGCCTTCTCCACTGGCGTCAAAGCTAGTGTAGATCCGATGACTTTGGGTCTGGGGATAACTTCACTTCTTCCGGAGCTAGCAGGGGCAACCCCGAATCTTCAGGTACCCCTCAATGTGACACAACGCGCTAACGTATGATTTCATTTAGAATTCAAGGAGATTCGCAAGGAATGGAAGGCCCGCAAGAAGGAAGAAGAAAACCAACGCAAGGCCGAAGAAGATCGCCAACGAATGGGGGTTGCTCAAGCTGGTCCCCCATCGGAGCAGCAACAACCTGGTCAAGGTGCCCCACCACAAGGCTACCAACAACAGCAAGCTGAGAGGAATGTTCAACTCCCTCCTATCGGGTATCAACCTGGTGGTCAAGTTCCAGCTCAATATCAAGCTCCTGCAGGCGGAGTCCAACAATTGCAGCAATACGATGGCAACCAGATGCAAACATTTTCCGGATACCCAGCCTCCCCTTATGGTGCGCCAAATCAGATGTATAACCAACGTCATTACTTCCCTCACCCCCCTTCCTGTAGTTAACATAGCTGACTTATGTCCCCAGATAACTCGAGTGCGCCTCAACCAAAGTATGAGAATGATCCCCAAAATTAGATCAGGCACCATTTTCGCGAATTTCGACGAGCCTTCTATGGATACCTTGTCGAAAATAATAATACTGCTTCGTTGTCTTTACCAATTGCGCTCTTGTATCATATGGGTCGCTGACTGCATTTCCTTCGGTGTCCATCATATGCTTTCATTGCGTTCTTAGAAGTCCTACGACTTGTTCGGCGACGAAAACAAACGATTCGAATGCCTTTATGCCCGTTTCCGCTTCTACGTTCTTCTTTTTTGCTCTGGGGCCCCGAGATGGCAGGTCGTTGGTTGCATTAACTGGTTTTCAAATGTGGCGTCTCGGGATATATTCGACTGGGTGTTAATTGATTTGTGGGGTTGCGAAGGTTGTTTTGGGTGTTTGCTCGCAAGATACCATTGGCTTGTTGGCTTCTAGGCCATTTAAGGCTCTCGGTTCAATCACCAAGAAGACTTCCTCGCCTCCGCGAACTTTTTCCTTTGTTATGTTTTGATGCTTTTTCTCGTTTCTTCTTGCGAAAAAATTACCCTGGCTGCATACACCGGAGGTCACCTTTTTATTTGTACTCTGGGAAGAGAGACCCTGCGGGATTTGGGGGTTGGTTGATTGAGATGGGATCTCGGATGAGGGGGGGCTTGGGATTTTGTTTGGTTGCGTTTTTGCGAGGCTAGGTCACATGCGACTTGGCCTCTGCATAGTTGTGTTCAATGGTGCCAGGTACTTTCTGTAGTCGAAAGACTGGCTTTGTGTGTGGGATGAAAACGAAGATCCTCAATTAAACCCTCTGTCTTGTCAGTGTGTCTTTCAATGTGAATTGTGTTTCTGATAGCGGACCATGTTTGGTGGAGGGAGTACGTCGCTCAATTTTCATACAAGGGTAGATATAAAACATCTTAGGAAGAGGGAGGAGGGGCGCAGGGTGAAAAGCAGAGACTTTAGATGGAGGAAGGGAGATTGAGAACTTGTTGTTTTCTATTTTTTTTTCCTTCTGGTTTTGTCTAGAGGGGTGTGATTTATGGGTTTATACTTTTCTTTTCTTTTCACGGAGTCATTTGTTAGGAATTGTAAAAGGGGTCACCAAGTGTGAGAGTACTGGGAAGAATGCTGATCTTGGATGGATGTTGATCTAGGTAGCGGGGATACTAGGTATGGAATTGAAGGGTTGTGAGGAAGTGCGGAAAGGAAATAAGCGAGTTATAATTTTTTGTTTAAAGATGAATGATGAATCCTTGGTTTTTTTGTTTTGTTTTGTGGGAGGGGGGGGGAGGGGTGAAATGAGATACGAACGAGGAAAGATCGTGTTGACGACTGTAGGAAAATGGATTGTGGATCCGTGGTTTTTGGTTTGTGGGGGAGAAGAGGAGGGGAGTAGGGGTAAAATGAGGTGGGATATGGAATATGGGTTATGGGTGCGTGCGTGGTAGTTTGAGGTGTGGAGGGTTGCTGTGGGGTATTGCGGTCATGTAGGTTGGGGGTTTTCTTTTGGAGGGGTTTCTTTGGATTGAGGTTGGGTGGTTGGGTTAGGCGGTCGTGTAGATGGGGAGCAGATGGTGGAAGGGTTTTATTCTCGGAGAGGGGTTTTAGAAAATGAGAAGGGATTTGAATTGATACGGTGGGAGGTTTCATAGGAGGAGGGGGGATTCGTTAGGGTTGATTGTGATTATAATTATAATTATTGTTTTTAAGTTCTTTGGATGCACTTACTTAGGGGTTTCTTGAAATCCCATCTGGTAAGAGTACTTGTACTTTAAGAATTATAATACCTGCCGCTTGGAAGTTGGAAGTTTGTGATTTTTTACCTGTCTGTTTGGTTGTTTGTTAGAGTTGGGTTCTTGGTAAGTGTTGTGTTGGGAGGAATTGGATGTTGGGTCTTAAGTCTTGAGTAGTTCGTTGGTTGTAAGTTGTAAGTCGCCCCCTTTTTCCGTTATATGTATGTATTGATTGCTGTTTCGTTTAGACTTGTAGATGTGGCTTTGGGAAGGAGTACGTTGGTGAGCTTCTTTATGAGTACTTGGAGAGGGAGTTGGGAGTTAGTTAGTTGGTGGATTCTTATAGGGTAGTTGTCCTGGAATACGAAAGGTGGGTCTATTCCTAAGGGCTTTTGTTTATTTATTTCTTTTGGAATTCCTTCTATCTTTCTTATTAGTTTCCGCGATATCAGGTAGTATTTAGATCCGTATATAAGGTTCTTATAACCTCTACCCTTACTACCTTTCTATTCCTCTCCTAGGTATATATCCATTTTTTTTCTTTCCGTTCAATCGGCGCGTATATACCCAGTAAGGTTTACTAGATTAGATTTCTCCATTCTCCAAACAAAAATTAAATCACGTTCCCCCGGCTAATCTCGGCCCACGACCTCACCATTACCTTCATAGTACTAAATAAGCGATACTTCAACATGAAAGCAACAAAGGTCGGGTGGTGTAGTTGGTTATCACATCTCGTTAACATTGGTTAACAATACGTCCGAGAAGGTCCTGGGATCGAGCCCCAGCCTGATCATGAATGCTTTCTTTTTTGTGACATTTTTATCGGTTGAAATATTTGGAATTCGTGATTCTTGATTTTTTTTGGTGGCTGGTGGTGGGGTTTGGGTGGAAAGATCTGGTTATTTGCGGGTTTCTTAGCTTTGCGGTGAGGCGGGATCGAGAAGATGGGATTTGGATAGTGGAAAGTGGAAAGTAGGAGGGATTTTTTATTTGCGATACCATACATACTTAGCATGCTGGCATGTTAACAAGGCGCATAGGTTATCACAAGATTATCCAACTACACTCAAAGGAAGCGCCAAGGTATACTTTCTACGTACTGAAGCAGTGATTACTTCTAGATCTACAAGTAAGGTACGCTATTCCAACCCCCACGAAATCAACCTTTTCATTAAATATCCTCAGCTCTATCAAGTTACCATTTTTCTACTCAGAAATACACCCAGCGGACGGCATCTACCCAAGATACGAACCCACACTCCAACATACGTATATACAAAACCCCGCGATCTTCTCCCCAATAAAGTGTGTAGAAGACGTACATACTAATCCCCCTCCCCTCCCACGCTTCTCCAACCTTTACTCATAATACCTCCAAGACCCCTCAAAACACCTACTAAAAGCAAGAAAGAACATCCAAGCCTAACCCTATGTCTAATCCTATAATTCCTTCCTCCTGCCAAACCGGCGAACCGCAAAGTATAATCTTACTATAGCCTTCTTAATATCTCGATATAAAGTAGTACTATACTATACTATACCTACAAACCAATCCCATCACAACCCCGTACATCCTCCAGGATCTTATACCCAACACCTAACCCAAACCCACAATTCCTCCCTCCTGCCAAACCGTAAAGTATACAGTACTAGTAACCTCCTTAATATCTCGATATGAAGAAGTACTGCACTATACACTACCTACCTACTAACCAACCAAAGCAGTAACCAAATTAGTAACCAACCCCATACATCCTCAGGAATCTTATAGTATACTAATACTAAATAATGATAAACCAAACACTGTCACCTATCCGTATTATAGTATACAATACTACATAAACACACTATTCCAAAAGCTCCTTAACTCCTACTTCTACTTACTTACTTATCTTAATACTCCCTATCTTCCTAACTTCCTAACTTCCCGCCCTCCCCCCTCTAGTATAAAACAAAAACAAAAACAAAAAAACAAAAAAATAGAAAAAAGAAGAATAGAAAAAAAAAGGTCCTTACTTCCTATAAGAACTTCCTTTTATAAATAACCCCCCCTACCCCGCCCCCCCCCTTTCTTAAAGCCTCTAGTCTAGGTAATAGTAAATTAATACTCGAGTAATAAGACTAGTAGTTATATATATTCTACACTCTATGGTAGAGTACTAGATTTAGATTTAAGCCGGAATTTACCAAGTATATAGATAGGGACGTGAGATGTTTAGATAATATCCCAAGTTATATAAAAACCACATGATATAATCTACTAACTTACCTACCTACCTACCTACCTCTCTTCCCTCCCCTTCCCTAATTTCCATCCTAACCTAAACCCATTACTAACCCCTAAGAACCCTAAGAATCTAACAAACAAATAATCACAACCAAAAAAAAGGGGGGGGAGCCTAATAAACAAATCCAAACCAAAAAAGAGGAATTATCATTCATGGTAAGCCTATCTCAGTATCTCTAGATCTCAGATCACATACCCAACCCACCCGCTCCGCTCCGCTCATCCTCGCTTTATCCGTATTCCAAAAAAATTAAAAATTTATCCCCTCAATGACTCCATCCCTACGAGAAAGAGATAAAGCCAAACCACATTGCCCCCTTCCCCCCTCCTTCCCCGAAAAATACCAAGCGGGAAGAGAAGAGAGAATTCAAGGGCCAAAAAAGGGTACTAGACAGAATTAAAAAACCCAAACTCAAACATATAAGACAAAAACCCCTTGGTAGAATTCTCCTCTTTCCCACCAAATGTTTTCTCCCGTGGTCCAATCCCTTATAAAAGATGCAAACGAATAATAATATCTAGCCTACCACACAGAAGGGTAGAAAGCTGGTCGACACATAACAATACTCGTGATATCCATAGTTTTCATCCATACAGCCCTTGTTTTCCTCTCGATCCAAAAAAGACACAAAAACACCATACACAACCCAAAACCCCCATAAGGATGTAAAAGAAGCTTCAAAAAATAATGGGCATGCACACGGAGAAGAGAGATCAATTAAAACAAAAACTTCGCTTTTCCGGTATACCCAATCCATGTTTCCGTTTGACTCGCGCCTACCAATGAGTTTTTATCCGACTGTCGATGATTTTATCGTTGAAAGGAAAATGCGAACACGTTTGATGATCTAAACCCCGTTGATGACGACCTCTGGGCAGTTGGCATCATGTGCTTCGACGGCCGTCTTACCCGATGATGTACTCTCGGACGGATCATCTATCATGCTGACACTGGTGCTGGGCAGACTGCTACTTTGCGGACTGTTCTGACCATTAGTCAGAATTGGGGTAGGAGCACTCGAAGTAATCTCGATGGGCATCGAAGGACTAGTAGATGCAATGACTGATGAAGGCGTCATGTATGACGGCGCCGGACCAGTGAAGATGAGTTTCTCGATAGCGGCGATTTGTTTTCCATAACTGTACTTTTTCAAGTGTAGCAGTTGCGGTTTCATATCCTCTACGAAAGCCTCACGCTCGGCTCCTTTGAGTTGTGCTAGCAGTTTTTCTGTAGCAAGTTAGTTGTGTTTTGATGAACTGTAAGGACTAGACTCACGAATAACATAGTTGCCATATTGATCCTTCATCATGAGCTGCAGCGGACTCGATCCATCACTATGCAACGCTGTCAATTGAGCAACGAGACCTTTTCTCTGTTCAGCTGTACCAAATTGAATACTTTTCTCAACGACGTTGGATGCGAACTTGTGTTTGGAGAGTGTCAATAGCTGTGCCGAGATGATTTTAATGATCTTTGCTCGGTCTACTGGCTTGCCGTGCTGAATGATATGTTGAGTAACATAGTTGCCATACTGGTCGGTGATGAGCATCGATGCGCACTGATGAAGTTCTTCAAGTACGGCAGCTTGATCATGGGGTTTGCAGTATTCCAGAATTCTTTGAATAACGCGGCAACCATAGGGATGAGTAGCAAGAATGTGAACCTGACCCCTGAAAGCCTCGATGACGAATTGTACGTGCTCAGTTGGCACACGCTCGATCGCTTTTTGAACCACGTGGTTACCATTTTGGTCTTTGACACATTTGAGGACATCTACTTCAAGCTCTTCGACGAGCTCAGCTTGCTGGTCCGCAAGAACATGTTCGAGTGCCTAAAAGACAGTATTAGTTGTGAAACGATTTCGGTTTGACAGAGTATGACCTACCTTTTGCACAACTCGGCAGCCGTACATTTGCATTGACAACTCCATCACATGATTCTTCATAGTCTCCGCAAGAACTCGTTTTTGAATTTGATTGCCATGCTCGAACAACTTCTGAATCACATAGTTGCCAAAAACGTCAGTCATCAACTGGAGCGCATTTGGCTGGATTTCACGGAAAAGTTGCTCTTTCTCATCACTGTTGGCAGTTTCAAGTTTTTGCTGGATGAACCGAGAACCATGTTGGTCACCACTAAACTCGACAACATGATTGTAAATATCCTTCAACTCATATCTCTTGTTGGACTTGGAGTTTGCTCGGAACTCCTCCAGAAGCACACTTCGCACACCCACGCCAATATCCTGTTCCTTTGGTCGGGTTGGAATAGTTTGTGTAGGAGTATATGGTGGCATCGGCATTTGGTAACCATATGAGACATTGCCGGGTCTAAAATTGGGTGGCGGATAGTCGTAGGCTTGCGGAGGATACTGACCTTGGAACGGGCCACTACCATACATGTAAGCCGCCTGTTGAGCAAGAATGTTTTGTTGGAACCGTCGATCCATTTCACTTGGCCCTTGCGGAATCCGGGGGCCACGTGAAGTTGGTCGATACACTTGATCGATTGGAGGAGTTGCTCCAGAGGAGTAATATTTCGGGCTACTGTATCCTCGACGATAATCACTTCCCGCAGGTGAGACTGATCCTCTTTCATGAAGGTGTGGCTTGAAGTAACCTTGGTCTGTGAAAGATTGCGATCCATAACGATCATGGCCATTAATACTCTTGGGTCCGTTTGGCATGTCCCACAAAGCTGCTGCACCGTTGTGTGCAAAGGGCTGTGGGACGAATTTCGCTTGGCTCGGGGAATAGGTTGGGTTGAGAGCACCATGAGTAGGATTGATGGGATCGGTTTCAACAAAGCCGAGACCAGCAAATTTGTCACCTAGTCCGGCATCGAGTTGAGTAGAGTCCGCGAATCTCGAAGAATTACCTTGTGAAGTGTAAGAAGCTGAAGGTCCGGAAAAAGATGGCCGCTGTGAATGCATAGAACTAGTGGGCGTGTGAGATGCGCCGATGGAGCCGAATGGAGCATTGCCGTATGGCATATTAACATTATTAAGCCCAGAATCAGATGTCCTGGATGGGGGAATGCTGCTGTCCCTCGAAGCACTGCCGTTGACAGCCAGGAAATTCGGTGGCACAAATTGCTCGCCCTTGAATCCCCTAGCGGAACCATCGTACTCGTAGTTGTTTTCCACCCCAGACCCACTAAACTGTGATGAATTCTCCTTGTCATCGGCGTATACGAAGGAAGGCTTCCGTCCAAAGGTAAAAGGTCCCGAGGATGGATCCAGGCTGCTCTTAGGAGCCCCTCTCCCATAAGCGGCTGGCTGGCCAATCCGTGATTGTTGGTAGGAATTTTGGATTTCCGAAAGGGTTGCTTGAGATGCGGCAGGGAGGCTATTACGGTGGTGAGTTGGCGAAGCGCTCCCACTGTGGGAGGATTGCAGAGTAGGTGAAGTTGTATCTGGAGCATTCCATGGTCCACTGGCAGGAGCACCCCAAGGGTCGGCCTGAGATGACCCTCTCAAGGCACCGGATCCGCTAGGCAATGGGTATTCGGCATCATCCCCTACTACTTGATTATCAGTAATGGCAGAAGGCTCTCTGTCCTTTGCAGACCCACCGCGAGAACGGGAAGCATCTCTCTTTGTGTTTGGCATCCCGCTACCAATGGCATTTTTACCCCATATTCCGCTCGAGGCTTGCCAAGAGCTACCATTTCCAAATGCTGGCGCGAGACTTCCAGATTGTGTGTTTCGCTCGTCGCTGTTATGGCGGGCAGGGGCGGTGCCAAATTCTCCTCCAAATCGAGTTGACCGCGCCTAGGAAAAGTTAGCACAAGACACAGGCGGAGTTTTGGAACCGGGCTGAGGGCGTACTGCGTTGGTCATGGCGCCTGATGGTCGGTTGGTTGTCGCAGAAGACATGCGGAAAGCGTTTGTGAAATTGTTGATTTATATCAAAAGATGGAATGCAAGACGTGTGCTGTGAAATATGATGTATGGGCGGAAAGTTTGTTATGGTGACCGAAGGTTCCAAGGAATGAATAAGATTTCTACTGGGTATTGGACAGGTTGTAGAACTATATGACTGGAAGCATTCGAAATGTCAGCATCTATGCGGTAAGGCTGATGCTGCCAGAGCAGACGGGGCGCGGAAGACGGAGCTGAAGAAATCTGACGTACCAGGACTGGATGTGGGATGTATGTAACGGATTATGCTGGCAAGATCATTTACAAAAAAAGGTCGGAGAGAACAAAGTACTTTAGGCGACGGCAGACATGGAGGAGGCAGCAGAAGGGAGGGAAGGGATATGTTTTTGTTTAAAGGGCTGACTGTCCCCGTAGCAGAGACCGAAGGTAGGGCGAAAAAAAAGTCGCTGGGTAGCGTAGCGCAATCCAACCCTCGTTTGTCATATATGTGTGCAACCTCAGCGGCGCACGTCGTTGGAGAGGCAAGAACCCGCGCACTTTTTTTTGACGGGGCACCGAGTTGAGCCTGGCAATGCGAGGCGGAAATTTGCGAGAGGCTTCTTATTGTGCGGGTGTCTTGGAGTTCGTGAGGAGGATTTGGAGTCGTTCTACCGCATTCGGAGCAGCGTCGCAGAAATGGGTGCGACTTTGCGGTTGAGGTTTTGCCTGAGGGAAGCAAGGACTTCGGTGTCAGGCACGTAGGCACGTAGGCACGCAGGCACGCAGGCACGCACTAGTTTATGGCAGGCCGTACTGGGACGGGTACGGGACTTGGACAATGTGCGTTTATTCAGCGGGTCGAAGCTTCGAATCGGGCGATTGATTGCTTGAGATTATGGAATTCCCCCAGATAACGAGTGGTCAGGGTGGAACTGGGGATGGGCAGGTATGTAGGCGTATAGGGTCGGTGTAGGTGTGGATGTAGATGTAGGCGTGGGTGTAGGAGACTAGCGGTGGTGATGGAGGCAGAATGCCGGCACGGATCTGGGCGCTTTGAGAGCGTAATCGTAAGGGCACCCGCAAGAGGGCGTTGGAGGTGGGATGGAGAATGGGAGGGGAGAAATGTGGAAAGTCTCTGTGCAGGAGACAGAGGAGAGGAAGATGACGATGGGATGGATGTTGGGTTGGCACGATGAACATGAATTCCGTTCGCAGCAGCAGCAGAGGCAGAGGCAGAAGCAAAGCAGTGCAGTGCAGCGAGCAGGCCCAGCTCGTATGTGTGCAAAGGGCCAGGGGGGAAGGATTTGTAGGGAGTATACAGGTGGCTTGTGAGGCCATTTCTATGCACCACACCTCTGCAGCCAACTGCCTCTTCGCTTCCCACCAACATCCCCCAACGACCGCCGTCTTTGGCGCCTATACATTCCCAAGGGACATGGAAACCCTCGATCACCAACCAGGACCCTGATTCCACACGTTCGGCCAACATCCAATGTTGGGACGGAGTTTGAAAGGACTTGATGGTGTCAGGGCTGCTACCACAGTACCACTACCGGTAACTTTTTGGATGACGGGCCACTCCACCACTCTGTCTGATCTGACCAGATGCGGAGACCGTCAGCCACGCCATGGGTAGAGGGCTCACGCCAGTGATAGTGCTGCAACACCAATTGGAAGCCCATCTTGCGTGCCCTCGAGCCCTACCCTAAGCCTCAGCAAGCAGGGTGTTGGAGTCGCAGGCCTTTCTGACGCTTCCAAGGTTTGCTTCCTACGCCGTGCTACGTACACCTCGCAGAACTACGCCAAATTCTGCCCGCATGGCGACTGTCGAGCCAGATATCCAGGACTCAGCACACGCGATGCGAGTAAAGGGAATGCCAACTACCTTGACCCCTGACTACTACTCGTACTGGTACGGGACCCTTTCTTGAACCCCGAAATCCACAATTAGGCCTAGATGGTACTTCAAAGCCTATCAGGTAGATACTGGTAGGTGTGATAGGGCTGTCTGTCCCCTTCTTAAGCGTGGTGCACAGACAGCTTTGCCTACAATGCACCACTACCGTACAGCACTACCTAGGTACTCTATCTGAAGCTTTGCCTACCCGACACGCTGCTTTTTTTCCGGGGCTTGGCCTTGCGCTAGAAATAGCTGGATGGCAATGCCCCTGGACTAGTCTGGTCTAAAATGGTGGAGGCCAGCCTTACGCCTCTCATCTCGACACTCACTGGCAGCCATCACCATCCGACCCGCCAACCAGCACGCGCAGGGGGGGGCTAAAGTAGTCGCAGTGGCAGTGGCAGTGGCAGTAGTGACAGTGAGTACACTACCTGGCTTCAGCATTAATAGATTCGGGAATCCCTCCAACGCTTCTCCTTGACTCCTTACTATTCATACATACGGTACGGATTGTCAGCCGAGGTGCTGCCCTCGCTTCTTCTCGCTCTCCTGTCGGCCTCAGGACTCTCCCCGCTCGCTCGGAAAGCAAAACAGCTTGTTACTAACAGACTTGGAATGGCTGGAATGGCATCAGCCACTCGGAGGAATTCATTCAAATGCCCCCGCGATCTTCTTGTGCCACCGAACTTCATTCCTCGGGTTCTCTACCTAAGGAAACGATCAATAGATTGAGTGCACGGTCGCCCGTCAAACATCTAAACAACCAATTCTCTGTCCTCATTCCAGCTTCCCCGACCTCCTCACACACAAGTTTCACGTCCTGGGAACAAGGCTAAAATCCCTCCTCATGCCTGTGTCTCCCCGGTTCATCTCCCTGTCCCAGCCAGGGATTTTGACATGAAGCTATTCATGACTTGCACTATTCACATTCCTCAATAACTCAACGGTAACAACCAACAGAGAAAGATAAACTCCATTACATTTACCTCGACGAAAAAAGATCGACAGATATGTTCTTTCATTGCATCTTCAGTGACACCTCAACAATGCTTGTCGAGGTCATGGTTTACGGCAACGAGCATGTACCCTTGGGGCGCTATTGACCACCAAGTACTCTGTACCGTGGCACTCGCTCTTTCGTCTCTTCGTGTGAGCTGGGTGGATGATCCTAGTTTGACATCTGTCGTACAAACCATCAATGTACTCTCAGACCACTTGAATCTCTTGACTTCAGATCTTGGTCTTTCTAGAAAACACCTAGAACTGGACAGTTCCATCATTGGTCAAGGGCTGCAGTTGGGTGGGTTCTTCGCCTTGCTGTATATCAAAAACTCTAACACATGTAGACGAGAGAAATCTTCTTCCACGTCGAACATCACCAAGTCATCCCACATGTATAGATCTTCGTGCTTCCAGCCTGCAAATCTAGTTCCACTCCGTTGGCATCATCTCCCACGAAACAAACTTGTCAAGGCAACACAAGAAGATGCAAGAAAATATCGGATCGTTACTTTATCAGGCCTCGCTGCACAACCACCATTTCTTCCACTCGGAACAAGATCTTCTATTCGCGCCCCCCAAAAAGAAAGGGTAAAAGCAAATAAAACTTGTTGAGTGATAAGGTTTTTGGGGAGATCGTCATTCAGAGAAAGAAGAATCTGACAAGTGACAGTGAAGGAATGAGGCTCCCAAGACCCCTTCGACATATCTGCTTTCTTCCTTTCTTTTTCCTTCCACTTTGCATATTCACACCGCTCATTGCCCTTCATCTCACCGGGGAACATCTGGTTTGCTACTGTAGGAAAGTGCATAGCATATACGCCTATCAAGACTTCGATATCCTCGTCTGTTTTCCTTAGTGGTTATACAGCATAGCGGGGTGGGGCTTCCTTTGACGTGTGTTGACTTTCAACCATTCGATGGAAGTCCGAGTCAAATTTCACGTGATGCTCGCCCGGGTGAGATTTTGGGTGCATCGTGATGATGCAGCCACTTTATTCTTCACCTGATGTTTGTTTTGTTTGCTTGTTCGCTTGTTTGCCATGACCAAGAAGAAGAAGAAGAATGCGGGATCGGTGGAAGATTCGGTGAAGAAGGGATCCACCGAAACCACTATTCTAGATCTTTGAGAGCCAGTAATCGGGATTATTTGAAAGATCAACTCTGATTGCCTGGAAGAATGGGATAGCTGTCTTGCAATTGGGTAGTTCCCAGAAGTTCAGAGCCATTTTTGGTCTTCATTGCCCCCCTTTTCTTGTGGTCGCCGACTCTCTCATCTTACTTGCCCTAGAAAATTGGGGTACTTTTCTTAGAACTATTTTCAGAAGTTCAGCGCTCCGGTTTTTGTTTACCATCCTTTAGTAGTAGGTAATAACTATCTTATCTCACAACGATCGGCAAATGGAACTCGATTCCATGGAGCTATAGAAGTCTATTACAAAAGGAATATTCCAGAGTACATTATATATAGAATAGAATATTCCATCGAATAGGCTCTAGAATTCCATGGAATTCTAGAATTCTAGCGTAGGTCTTTAACTAATTAGATAGCCGCCCGGGGGGGGGGTTGTTTAGGGGGTTTAAAGTAAAAATTACTCGATTATATACTGTATAATATAACTTCTATACAAAGTATACTTATTGTGACGGTTATGGTCACGAGGGCTGGATGTCACATGCTCGCTTAGCGAGGCGCTAGCGCGCACGACCTGTATTTAGTTCCCAGCTCACTAGAGCTCTCCTTCTTTCCTCGTCTTTTGTCCTAAGAATAGAGTGTTAATTGTTCTGAGTTCTACCTGAAGCACGTCTGTCACACTTATATTCCAAGGTTTTCTCTTCATTCGCGATAATTATTTTAATTTTCATATTACTTATTCCTTTAAATTCTTTTTAAAAGTCTTACATATAAAGACTAGTTGTATTATAATAGTTACTATTAGTACCTAGCTGTCACGAATCACGTGCTAGCAGGTGACGAGTGAAGACCAGGCGGCGTCCTGACAGGTTAAACATTATCATGGACTCTTATAGCGAATAGGGACGCTTAGACTAGCTAAGCGATCCAGGGATTTCTCTTGGTTAGTTATCACGTGATGGAAACGAGCGACATGGCCGACGAGTCGACCATGGCGACCACAGAGAACGAAGGTTCTATATAAGACTGGCACGTCTGCCATTAGATAGGAGCTTCGTGCTCAACTTAGTTATCAATCTTATCATATTAGTTTGACATCTTTGATACAAGTAACGAGTTCACTTCCAAGTGAACAACCCGATAGTCTTCTTCTTATCATAGCATACCAACCAGCGAACACCCAGCCAAGTTTAGTTAGCCAGTTTGAGTATTCGTTACACTAGCTTCTTATTAGTTAATCGGAACTAGTAAACCTTTTTTCTAAGTTATATAATTATTAGTATTACTAGCGAAGTAATAGAATATAGTATAACTTTATTTAGTTATATTATCTCTTTAACGTAGTATGTATACGTTTAGATTTTTAGGTTTATAATTGCTACGGAGTTGGAGGGACTGGGGGCGGATCACGTGTAGCATGGCCCGTGCGTGCTACTGGACTCCTGTATCTAGGCTCTCGTTCCTCTGGAACTCTCTTCTTCTCTCACTTAGTTGTTCGTTCAATATAGCAGTTTCCGGTTTGACTCAGTATTCATCACAGCAAGCAGTGGTTCACTCCACACGGTCACAATAATTCCCTCTTTAAGTAACAATCGTTCGAAAACGCTTATTTTAAAAGCTTATTCGTATTAAAAAGGTAAATATAAAACTAATACTAGGAACGTTAAAATACCATTTAATTACTATAAAAGACTAACTAATCTAAATCGGCTTCGTTACTTAAGTCCCGCTCTTTATTAATATTATTAGAGTTCCTATAATACCTCTAAATTATAGTAGTATTACTATTATACTAATAATATAGTAGAAAATACTCCTTATTTAAGAAAATCTTATATACTATATACTACTTTCTTATTACTTTTATATTCCTACGTTTATAGTATTAAAAGTTAATTATAACCTTAAATTAAATAGAAATAATATTATCTTCGAACCTTTATACTAATATTCTTATACTATTACAGTGTCACGAATCACGTGTAAGCATGTGATGAGTGAAGACCAGGCGGTGTCCTGACAGGTCGAGCACTATCATATCTATTATAGCAAATAGGGATGCTTAGACTAGCTAAGCGATCCAGGGATTTCATTCCATTCGTATCACGTGACTAGTTGTGCTAGACAGGGCGACCGGTCGCGCGGTCTTGCAGCGACGGAGCGACTGGGCTAGCAAGCTAGCACAGGAACATGAAGGTTCTATATAAGACTGGCACGTCTGCCATTAGATAGGAGCTTCGTGCTCAACTTAGTTATCAATCTTATCATATTTGTTTGACATCTTTGATACAAGTAACGAGTTCACTTCCAAGTGAACAACCCGATAGTCTTCTTCTTATCATAGCATACCAACCAGCGAACACCCAGCCAAGTTTAGTTAGCCCGTTTGAGTATTCGTTACATCCGCCTCTAATATTAGTTCGAAGAAACCTTACCCCCCCTACGTAAGACTTCGAGGTTCGTTAGTCTCGTAAAGTATATTATTAATATATAGAGAATAGGGAATAGAGAAGGGGGGACATTTATTTATAAGTTACTTCGTCCTAGGTAGGTATAATAAAAATTAAGCTTACGGGAGGTGTATAAAGGTATACGATTATTATAAGGTAAGAATCTTCGTAGGCTTAACTTTTGTTATATCTAGGACCAAGTAAGATATATCACGAGAATACTTCTTATACTGTGATAGGTGTACTAGTTAGTAGCGACGCTCTGTTATCGTGTATAAGTAGAAGTATATATTATTGTAATGTGAAACCAAGCCCCGCTAGCTATGTATGGACAGCATAGAGATTTCTGCTTAAACTTGCGAGAGTGTATGCATTCTCTCAGCTGGAAGTTTCTTCGGTGCGCTCTTTGCAGCTCCGATTACTGATTAGATTAGCCGGAGATGGGCTTGGATGTTCTCGGCTGGTATTGTTGGAATAAAACCTCGGTGTTATTCTTTACACGGCATCCATAGGTGGTTGGATGAAGTGGAATGGTAGAGTGGAAGCCTAACCTATTCTAATAAACTGGATGGGTGAGTATAGCGCTGTATTATAACATACTGAGAATAGTATTGCGTACCTTGGATTCCAGGCTGGGTTATAGAGTTGAATAGATATTTATTTTCGAGACGTTAGAGAAAGCAAAGGACAAACAAGAGAAAGCAAAGGACAAACGATTGAAAGCCGGCCGAAGCAAAAAGTTCATCGAGCGCCAACTACAAACGCATATCAAGTGCTGTCGAGGACGAATGTGTTTCGTCGCTGCGAGGAGGAAATCTCTAATCTTGTTCTCAAGTTCTTAACCTTTTCTCCATGAATTAGGCCTAACTTGCTAAACAAGAAAACTACTTCGTTGATAGAACTCTAGGGACAATTCCACGGATAGAGAAAGGTGGAAAGCTAAGAACGGATTGGAGAAGTAAGGATCTTACTTTGTAAGATAGGAAGTGAGAATTATACTAGCCAAGTAAGGATTAGATGGATAAAACATCCAAGACTTGTGCTCAAAGATTATCACTATCCGTATCCAGCTCTTCTTCCACGAAAGCCATGGGTCGTTTCAATTCATCGATGTTTGAAGCTTACGGAGGTGTCTTCAGTATCGAACAAGATGGAAGAATTTTCGAGCGCTGATATGGAGTCCCCACGTGAGCATTTTTTCCATGGAAGAGTTCATAGAAGAGTTCCAGGTTGAAGATGAATGTTGGAAGGCAACGGAATATTGCAGTATACTTCTATGATTCTAGAAGGTCTTGGAAGGAAAATGGTCGAGTCTCATCTGGTAGAGGAAAGACCACAGGTGTCCCCCGTGTGGAGTATCCGTCGAAGACGCGGACCAGGAGACGATCTCGACCCGAGATCTGTAGGGTCTAGATTTATGAGAGAAAGGGGGGGATGGGAGGAAGGAGTTCCGATGGGTAGGGGAACAAAAAGGTAGCGTAAACCTGACACTTGTAGACATTCTCGAAATCGCGACGATGAGTTCAAGTGATGGAAGACAGGATCTATTCGTTCCTGCTTCAGCATATTGATGGTATGGACTGCTCGTATGAGACATGAGACATTTGGAGAACAAAGAAGCCAAGATAGAGATCGACGGTGCGGTGAAGGATCAAAACAAAACAAAAGGATCTGGATGATACTTGGTATATCAAAAGACAGGAGTATCCTGGGGTCAGAAATGGCCATGGATTCAATTTCCGCCAACCTCGACTCGGCACACTTAGGAGTTCAAGATCATCGCGACTTTGGGATGACCTTTGATGACTTTGCAAATGAAGTTCAAGCAGCAATTTCCAAGTCGTCGATTGGAGATGAGATGACGAGCAAGGAGACGGAGATGCAATCTCCATCAAACTGACAGCAAGGTCAGGAATTTTCAGACGTTTTGACTGAATGAAAGGATTGAGCTTGGCATCCGCTCCTCTCTCCACTCCACTCTCCACTCCCTGCGGCTCGCAAAACTTCGGACCTGAAATCGGCGCCCGGACCTCGAGGACGCACGTGTAAAGTTAGGGGGGCCCAACATGGAAACAAGTCAACGTGATCCTCTTTGCATCCCGTCCTTTTTCCTTTTGACTTGGACTCCAGAAAGACCAGAATGTGAGTTCCTACGAAAAGTGATTTATCATCGAGCCCCGATGCCGAAAAAAGAATCGAGGAGGGATTGCGGCGGTAAGCTTCGCTCCCATTCATCTTCTCGTCGCTTGCTCAGAGGAAAATAATCACCCATCCCGAAAATGTGGTGCATCCCGATCCTACCTGCCCCAGACGTGCAAATCACACCCTCCCATCCAATCGCACGGCGGTCCTCGCTGCTAAGCTTCACGTAACGAGTGACGGCAATGACTGGCTACGAGAGATCAGTCCTCCATCAGGATGCCAATAATCAACCACCGTCGGTCGCTATTTCTGGTTATACGGTATAAATGCTTGGTGGGCAGAAAATGCTTTGATGCATTGCTTGGTGAAGCTTGGCCTGGAAGCGGATCAGAGTGAGAGGCCTGTGGGGAAGGGAAGTTGAGATATTAAGGTTGCCAGGTGGGTGTTTAGGTCGGTGATGTGCGTATCAAACTCCGTACTCGTACTGCGATAGGGAGTGTCCGATGATCTCTGGCGGGAGGAGCATTAACATTTCTTTTTTTAACGCCCATCAAGACTCAAGCACACTTTAGATTCGGTCACGGAGACTCACGGTGGGTGTCAATGATGTGATCTCATCGAGTGCACCGAGAAAGGGGGAATCGATTAAATGGTACTCATGCACGCATAACTTATGCATGTATAATCCCACGCACAGGCCACTACAAGACGTTCCACTCCTTCTCCACTACTAAAATACTACTACAACACCTACTATTTTTTTTACTATTAGGATTAGAAATAAAAGTGTAGACGGGTTCGGGTTAGGGTTTGGTTAGAGTTAGGGTTAGGGCTAGAAGTTAGGGTTAGTGGAATATGATTAGGGCTGTTTTGTAGTGTAGACATGGCTAAGTGGCTCCCTTTTATGTCAGAGATTGCACGGGCCTCCATGAGTACCATTTAATCGATTCCAGAAAGGGATGCGCTTTCCAATGTTCCATCGCCAACCGCCGGCGAGGTGAGTGTGAGCGTGAGTGTGAGCGTGAGCGTTTATGTACTTCGTACGAGCAAAAGTCCTTCGACGTCCTTCGTAATCATAGGGGATGCGCCCGATTGTTTTTTCAATCTCCGGCCCATCCACTCGCACCTCGCTCAGGGCGCTCTTGCACTGCACTGCCTGGCACCTGCCAATCAGCACACGCAATTCGAGAGGAACCGTTGGCCAGCAGCTACACAGAGTGGGCCCCGCAACTTCTCTCGCGCCCACAATTCGAGCTTGACAGATGGCCCTGATTGGCTCGTGTATAGTTGAAGGTTTCTATAAACAGGGGCAATGACAGGGGTGGCGTGCATCCATCGCGGCTGGTCTAGCCAAACAGGCCGATCCACGCGCCAAGCGAGAAATTAGCTCCATTTAGCATTTTAGCCGGTGGGCCGCCAGTGGTTGTTGCTCTGGTTCCTGGCAGATGGCAGCATGGTGGCAGCATCCACTGCCATGCCCCCTGTCCCTTGACTCCCTTCCCCCTCCGAGCGCTCTCCGCCAGCAAGTGCGTGCGTTGCAGTTGCCAGTCTGTAAATGTGCTACTCACCCCATCCAAGTCGCTCCTTCTCGACCTTTTGACTTTTCTTGTCACCCGTTGTCCTTGCCTCCCACCGACACGATACGACACTTGCAAAAGTAGAAATCGACCATCCCAAGTCAACGTCATCGCAAAGGAAACCACTTCATCGGTCTCGTCCATTGCCAACGAGAGTTGCGCCCATCACTCTTTCCCCTAACACCACACTCGCTCTCCCTCTGGGAATCCACACTCATTCCAGGCATACCGGCTTCACTCTCTCAGCCTATCCCGTCCATTCTTTCAAACCACCAACTACCTCCTCCTCTCGACCGCCCTTGGACTAACTAACGAAGCCTTTTGGTCACTGTGTGAGTAGCAACCCCTCCCTTCATTCCTCGGCCACTCTCTAGATATCAACCACATATCCATTATATCCCTCAACCCTGGTTATTGAACCTCCTCCGTCCTTTCCAACCAACGCAATCGACCATATCAATTCAGGATGCATTTCCAACGAGGCGGACAATTAGCTGACCCTTCCGGTGAATTAGACAGCTCAAGGTTTAACGACAGTGTCTTCCCACCACTCACTTCGAGCGGCTCCAGATACTTTACGAACCCTATATTCATGAACATATAATTCCAAAATGGATTCCATATCAACACTCGTTTCCCAAGGCAGTGCTCGCCTCACCGCTCGTGAAGAGGCATTTTCGAATAATCCCGAAATCAAAGCACAAAACAGAACCATGCTGGATTTGACCATCGCCTTGATGGTTCTGATCGTCATTGCGACCTCACTAGTCGGCTCTCTCTTCTTCCTGAGAAGAGTCCGTCGAAGAAATGCCTTGGCACGGGAAACCCTTCCAACCCATAATGATCCTGCACAACAAGGACACAAACGACTCACCATCACCACTACCAGCGCCCCAGCATACACCCGCAACTCAGCCATCGTCGCCTATGACGAAAAATCTCCAATGATGAGCGACTCCGGAAGCCCAAGTTCTCCTGTCCCAGAAATCAGAATTACCTTTCCAGATGAGCAAGATGATGCTGGACGAAAAACCAGTGGTCGTGTAGTAGTTGTCCGCGTTGGAGAGACTAGCGTCGGTCTTGAGCCATTACCACAACAGGACGAGCAGCTACCGGCATACCAAAAGGAGAGCGGAGAACGATTTGACTCGATCGACATGGACCGCATCGGGGGGCTAAAGGAGAAGCACGAAAAGGATCAATTCTCCTAGGTCTTCCTCCCTAAACCCCCTCTACAACCTCGATGATGAACGTTTCTTTTCTTCCACACACCCTTTACCTTTCTTCCGACCTGCACAAATCCTCTTGATAGACGCCATTGCCACACACTTTGACGAGACCTTTCTCTGTACATGTCACGCAGCGGGTGCTTGAGGCATGCCTGGGTATGAGCGGAGTCCTGTACCTTTTTCTGGGACTTTCGCCTTGCATTTGCCATCTTCTTCGTTTCAGCTGTATGTAGTGTATGAATGCCCTACTATTTTGCTCATGCACTACCTGGCCGGCATCTTGCAGCGCCCTTTTTTCTTGTTTGTGTTTTCTTTTCTCTTTTTTTCGACGTTTTTTGGGAAAACCGACAAGTCAGGATTGGAGTTACAACAAATTTTCGGTCGGCCATTCGAAGGAACAATACGCGTTCAATCGTATATGGACGAAGGAATATTTCAATGATAGTGTCTTTTACAAAACAGAAAAGTGAACAACCACATCACTCTTCGGGGATATTATACCCAGGGAGGAGGGCGACCTCGGTGGGTTGGGAACATGTTGCGTTTCGGTACATGACGTGCTCGATAGGAAGGATGGCGGGTTTTTGTGAGGGGAAGGGAGGATATTTCATTTGTTGTTTCTCATTTTTCTTCTATACCTTGGTACTTGCCTACTACTACCGGGTGCCTTATCCTACATGGACGGACTATCTCTGATTCTCTCAATGGACCCGTTTGCTCGGAAGTCAAACAACCCGAATCCCCCTTGCGTCAATGGAGCAAATACCCATGTCAATGTACTGAAGACTGGAGGAAGTAATTGATGGGTTGGGAAATCAATATTTCGTGGGGAGAGGTTGGATCGTTCCTACGCGTTCGTTCAGATATCAAGTGTGGATGAGGTATGACAGATGGTCGGCGGTGCCTTTGGGTGTTGAAGAAATCCGAGAAGGGTGGCCCGGTAGTGGTGAGGGAAGGCGAGAAGGATGGGGTTTGTGTGGGGTGGGTGGATGGGGACGGGGTGATGCGTGCATGAAAAAGGGGTCCTTGTGTTTTCCTTCCTCCCTTCTCCTCCAAGAATACTTCGTGCTACCTCTACCCGTAAATTTATAATGTATTCTACGTAATCATTTTCTTCTTCTTCTTCTTCTTTTTCTTCTTCTTTTGTTCCTTTCTTTTATCTTTTTCTTTCGATAGGTTCAATCAATGGATGAGGATGAAAGTTGTACGGACTGTGCATACATATATATGTTTATGATGCTGATGCTTTACTTGAGATGTTTGTGCTGTTTTTTTGGGATGTGCATGTGAATGTGAATGTAGATATGGGTATTGTGGTATGTATATGATATGTATATGATATGACACATGGATTCATTTCTTTATTTTTTGTGGTTTGTATGTGTGGTACTGTAGTAGGTGGGTCGTGTTGGTATTCTCTTTCCTCTCGTCTCTCTTTTTATGTGACTTGGTGAGAAGGAAGATTGATGATGAAGAGTAATACAGTAGAATCGTGATGTTGTTGTTGATGATGTTGATGGTGTACTTACCTGTGGTTCAGTCTGTTGGTTTGAATTTAGGGTTTTGAGGCTTGATGGCTTTAGGGGGGTGGATGGGAGGTGTATATTTTTTTCTTTCGCTCTTTTTGGAGGGGAATATGGATTTGGGGGATTGGGGATTGGGGATTGGGATATGGTAAGATAGAGTTCGAAATTGTGGTTTGGAGGAAGATTTTGGATTTGGTTTGGTTGGTTAGTGAGTGAGTGACTGAGTGACTGAGTGACTGAGTGACTGAGTTAGTGGACCTGGGGGCTTTCGGTTTTGCTGGGGGGAGAGTAGGAGAGGGGGGCTATTGTGGGAAGGGGAGGGGAGATTTTGAGGTGATGATCATGATGATGGGTTTTGCTGGTTCGTCTCTTGAGGAGAGATATCTGGGGATTTCATAGAGTCGAACGGATCATCTGAGGACGGTTTCTTGATTCGTCTGATATAGACTTATTGCAATTCATCCATCATGGCGTCTTATGGGATTGAATACACTTCACTTTACAAGTCTTCTAGCAGCTATCTGAGCGCTGGTGAATTGCTTTTTTAATAGAAGTACATGAAGAGTTTATTTACATTTGCTATTGATATTTGAGCAAGTAGAAGGGAACCCCGCATTTGCCATTTGGAGAACGTCGTGTAATCGACGAAGTATAAGTGGCTTAAATTTACTTCCACCGTCCGGAGATTGCGAGATTATACTATGAATAGCTTATGACACTTACCCCGGGATCTGCATCTGGGTGGCTTCTCCATGGTCCTTGCCAACTTGGGGTTTGAGTGTGTGGTTTTTACCTTGATGGGTGCTGCCTTCTAAGCTTCTTTGATTTGGGACAAGAAGGTTTGTTGTTGGTGGTGTTGTTCCATGTGATTGTCGTTTGCTATTCTGGGGTGGAGGTTGCCTAGATATGGGGACTACAGTCTACATTTGAGGGGCCCTCGGGTGTTGTCGAGAGGCTATGTGGGAGGTTTAGTCTATGTCGAGGTTATTTCTGTCTGTCTGTACAAGTTTAAGTAAACTTCTATATATTTACGAGATACCGGTATAGTAAAAACCTAAACTAAAGTATCGAGCACGTAATGGAAATTTGCCACTTCTGAGGGCTTGCTGATAAATATATATATATATATATATATATCCTAATAACAGATAACAGATAACCTGGGAAGGAAAAACTCCATATGACAATATTACAGAATGCGCATAGCAGCGGCGGCAACAAAAGACTTTCATCTTTCTTGCTCACAATTTAGGCGAGAATGCGGGGTGGGGGTCGCCTTCTCCGTAGAGCCCCTCCTCTATAAATAACCCGCCCACCAACCATGGTTTTTTGCATCAATATAACAGAGTTTTGGTTTCCTACTTGGTATTTTTAAGGTTATTTACACGTGGTGACACGTGTGAGTATTGGAATGGATTGGTGAGTGAGATCGAGATTGGTGGGTAAGTAAATGGTCTGGTAGTTTGCGTCTACCTTTTCGGGTATGTGGTGGGTTGTTGGAAGGGTTTAACTTTAAGATATGATATTCTAGACCAGGTAGATATCGTACATTTTATGTCGAGGAATTGTAGCAGATATTTACAAGGCGGGGCTCTATCTAAGCTATCGGTATCTACCACCACCTTCTCTAAATTTACACCAGAGATTAGCGAAGGGAGGACCGACCCGAGCCATCCGCTTTCCTTACGATTCATCGCGAAGTAGATTTTTAACCTTTGATCTACCACCCCGCATTTGGAAACCCCTAAAAGCTTATACGAAGTAAGAAATAGGCTAAAGCCGTGTTATCAACTTGCAGGGTACGACTCCGAGTCGTCCTATCCAGGTCCTTACCTTTGTACGAAGTATTACTCGTTTTTTGATTTTGGCTTTTGATCTACTCCCCCGCCTTCTGAATGATGGTTTAAGCTTTATGCTTATTGTGTCTATTTTTGTAGATCTTTTGGGTGAGGGAGGGGTTTGGTGAGGTGTTTGGATATATTAAGGCGGGGATATTTAGATTATTATTGGGTGTTGAGGGGTGAGGTGGTGATTTGGGGGCTTTGGAGATTTTCTGTGAGATGTACTTTTTGAGTTCGTAGTTGGTTTTGGATGCATTTTAAGTAACAAGTATCGAAAAGGTTTGTTTGAAAGTATGGGTAGGGGACAGCGGTTTATAGAGGGGTTAATAACCTACTATTTGGCGTTCAATGGAGTGGGGTTACGCTATACAGAGGATGCATTCTGAAATGGCGCTTTCGAGGGTCTGGACTTGTCATGAAAACTCGCTATGATAGATTTACAGTACAAGTGGTTTGGTGCAACTTATCACATTGTGGCTGCTATGAGTAAGTCTTCGCAAAATTTTCAACAATTGAAGGACCTTGGTTCGAGGAACTGGACGCTGAAGCCAACGAGGCAAGCCTGATCATGATAGACTATTCTGCTTGAAACTTTAAGAGGGAATTTAGGCAATACAGGTACCGAAAACTATATTGTACAGTACATCAGAGATGCTCAGGTCAGGTCTGAGGAAGAAACCGAGAGATGTTGTTGTCATTAAGTTCTACGGCGGGGACGGTTTTACAAAAGAAAACGGGGTTAGAAATCGTCCACTAGATCCATCCAACCAGGTCTCCTTTGCTATTCGCAATGAAAGGAGAAGGAATCGACAATAGCATTCCTTTCGACGGCAAACGAGGCTTTCTCCAGGTCCTGGCGTTCTCGGAGATGTATGGGCTTTCTCGGTTATGCATACATGATAAAGAATTCAACTTCTCCTAGGCCTATACCCTCACTAATTGCCATCTCATGTATATCGTAATCTTCGAGCTTTCTCTTCTTTTAAAGGGTGTTTGAAAAGTAGACTGGAGTAAGGACGCTTTTTAGAAGCAGGGCTGGACAAATGAAGGAAACCTTTCTGGGATATCTGCAACGTACTGTACCTACCCTCTACGGGTACGGAAAAACTTCACATTTTGTTCATACTAGATCACGCATGTTTTTTGCACCTTTTGAAAATCAGTTCATAACAATGTAATCAGAAAATATATAGGTACTGGTAAGGTTACAAATAGAAATGATGATAATTCGGAATCCACTGGTGTTTCATCTTTTGTTTTCCCGACGTTTGTAGATCAAGAAACATGTTGTTTTAAAACAGGATCTTTCCAGTTCTCAAGTGATAGAGACTTTCCTGGCCCAATTTTGTCACTTCCCTAACATTCGAAAGCAGAGTAGTCAACTGTTGTCCCCATTATTTCCAATCACGACCTTTGCTCGTTTCGGTGGCTCTTTGCTCCTTGCTGCCTTGGTTTTGGCGGTAGAATATGGGTGGCGAATTTCAAGTTTTAATTTCGTCACTTTTTCGAGGGGTTGATATGAGGGCATAAGTTAGTTTCGCTATATAAGTATCGAGTGAACATACTCGATGCGAAGTAATACTACCTGACGGAGCTAGATCCACCAGCTCTTAGTACTGTCATATAATAGCGTACACCTATATTAGCCTTTGCTCGGTGTATGTATCTGAAAGTGGAATGTGATATTACGAGTATTCTATTTATACTAACTTTGTCTTATCTAATTCGCATAGAGTTAAACCAACAGTTAAAAAATTTGGAAATCTAAGAAGATCATAGCAAAAAGAATTGGGAGCACTCAAGGAGGAAAAGGATAAAAATGTCAGTGATAAAAGGAAATTTGTATTTTGAAGGGGGTGAGATGGTGTGGCTGCAGTTAGGAAGTTTTAGCGAGGTACGTACCGCACCTTAAGATACAACCTCACTCAGAAACCAGTTTGGCCAAAGCTTGCTCAAAAATTGCTAGTTGCGGGTCTCGCAAACGGACCATTGGCCAAATACATACATCCTGCTCCCAAGACGTCCTGCACATGGGACAACGTGGGCGAGGTTGAAATAAGACGTGACTGAAACATGCATCGCAGAATGTATGGTTACAGTACGAAATGGTAGCCCTGTTGTACTTAACGTCCTTTATCATTTGGGAGCCCTTAAATGGATTGTAACAGATGTCACAAGTCGCACTAGGGTCAACTTCAGGGAGAGGTACCATTTTGGCCACATGAGGAAGCCTTGAATTAGACTCAACAAGATTGCTGAGGCCAAACATCTCGTAGTGGATAGCAACTCTACTGAGCAAACCAAACAAGTCCACCAGCTTACCTGGGACTATCTCGTTATCTGCAAAATACACCTCCAAAGCCACTAATGCATGCCTGACGTATGTCGACGATTCCCGATTGATCCCACCGGTCTCTCGAAAGATCTTAGCATCGCTAGAAAGACTATCCCAGTTTTCTTTTTGGGGTGTCGTGAGAGGAGTCTTCAGGAACTCTTCTGCACGAGATTCAATCCTAGAAGCAAGAGCGAGGGCTTCCTCTCTGCTTTCAAAAAGTGAGAGGTTGACTGGTGGAAGAAGGGTTTTGTCGAGAGACAATAAACATTCTGGGGATCCACACGGATGTTTGGAGTCGCCCGTTTCAATTTTTGGATTAGCTTCTGAGCATTCGCACACACGACTTAGCTTGTAAGTGTGGCCGCAGATGTACTTGATAATGTACTGGTTACACATATTGATACGTGAATGTTTTAGTAGTTGGAATGTTGTGGTGTTGTGGTGTTGTAGTGTTGTGGTGTTGTAGTGTTGTGGTGTTGTAGTGTTGTGGTGTTGTAGTGTTGTGGTGTTGTAGTGTTGTGGTGTTGTAGTGTTGTGGTGTTGTAGTGTTGTGGTGTTGTAGTGTTGTGGTGTTGTAGTGTTGTGGTGTTGTAGTGTTAGAAAACGTGAAGTGATGATCTGGTTAAAAGTGGTAAAAACATCACGGGTATGTATACACACAATCAGATTCTGTTCAAGTTCGCCAAGCCAGGTTTGTTCTCTTGAGATAAAGACAAATCCTACCATCGTACGAGGCGAAACCACGCGTTATACGCGTCTGGATTTTCGCATTGGACTCTTTGATAATCAATTCTTCGATTAAAACGCGTCTTAAGTTCAGGTTGTCGTCGTACGAAGTTAGAAGTCCAGTTCTTGCCAACGCGTCCTGCACCCCGCTCCGAGAGGATACGATTCGCCATATCTTCAACACAACGTACTCGTGGGGGAAATGATCGAGAATCTAGGTCGAGAATATGTCGTACGATAACTATTTCTTCAATCTCTGTAAGTTTTCGAGATTTAGCGATAGAATCTTGTCGTGATAATATTCCATGAGTTCGATTAAGCAATGTCGTATAAGGTACTTTATAGATCCGCGCAACCTTCTTAACTTTTAAATGTGGGTTCGCACGAAGCGTATTTAACGCAAGAATCATATCAGACTCTGTCCAATGCTTAACCATTTTGTTTGTTAAGAAAAAACGCGCTCTGAATAAGTTTGTGGAGTGCCAAGAAAAAAAATCCATTTCGCTTGGGAATCCAACTCGCTTGTGGACTACGTTAGTTGCATATCTATTTACACTTCTTTTTAGATATGCACCACCAAAATAAAGATACAAAAGTTATAAGACCTAAAACCCTAACGATTCCTTGTGCACGCTCGCATGTCCTTCGATTTATTGTTCTACTACTATACTATAGCCTACCAGTATTTAAATCTACCCCTCTACAGTATTACCCCCTCCCTTTGCCGCTAATACAGCGTCCCTGTTATAGTGATAGTAGAGTACGTATCCCCCGTCTACTATATCACGCCTTTACGTTATATATATCTATAAATTAGCCGAGTTTTCGTACCTTTGTTATTATTATAGGAGATATACTAGGTAACATAGGATGTAGGATGTAGGATGTGGGGGGTAGGGGGTGTGGGGTGGGGGAGGCAAGGGTGCGATACTACTAAGCAGGGATTCCTTTGCAAAATTAACAAATATATTTAAAATCCAAAAAACTTATGCGACGAGCCAAACAGTAGTGCATTTGTTTCGTCAGATTAGTACAAATTGCTTATAAAACAAGAAAGATAGCACGGGGTCTTGGGGTCATAGAAAAAGTAGTAAAGTTTCGAATTTGTACTTAGCATGCCCGACTTATGCGAGCCAAACAGGCCCTTAGGAAACCCAAATTCGTTTACGAGTACTTCCGCTGTTAGAAGTGACCGGGATGGATCACTCTAGATAACCAGCACAATCAAACAACAGATCCATCGTTCTCCTCGCCATTTGAAGAAACAATGAAAGGGGAATACTCCAGTAGTTTTTAACAGTCACTCATAATGACCACAGAAAGGAAAGGACCTATACAAATCCACCCAAAGGAAGATGAAGGCGGCGGAGTATACACCCATCCATCTACTAGGGCTTTATACAAATCACAACACATCACAGAAAAGAATGAAAGACCAAGGATATCGTTCATTCTTTTCAATTTATCTATCATACTAGAGCGAAGCTAGTTTAGTTTTCCATCTACAACACGAGAGAAAAAAGACGTGTATTCCATTCGTCCATCAACCCTTCCCACCACGATAGGCAAGAGCTGGCCTATATCTGAAGCCCCATATAAGGGCAGAACTTTGCATGTGAAAAGCGAAAAGAGACCAAGTAGCAACCTATGAGAAAAGCAGTCTATGAGCGTCAGAGCAGGGGATTAGTGGACTATTAAGACAGCCGCTATCACCCCCAGCTGATTGTTCGACGAAGAAAAGCTGTGTCTAATACCCCTTAATAATAACCACACCGCATGCACTTTTTGTTAGGAAAGCAAAAGACAAAATTACACGAGGGGTCAAGGTCGAAGACGGGGTGAAGCGTGTCGGAGACCTATGAGCCCTCTCCCAGACCATCAACGCCATAGAAACCGGAAATGAAAATGCAGGTTGTTCTCGTCATCGTCGAATTCGAGCACATCTTGTTTGCGAAGAGTCGGTGTGGGCGTTCGCGAGCGATAATGGCGTAAAATCGTAATGTGACAGCGTCACTCGATCGATTGGATCTCTACCAACGTCGATTACCTCCTAGGGGGGCGACGTTAGAAGAGGAAAAACCTCCTAGCGGCGACCTTTGTCAATCCCACCAGTTGATGGAAAACAGCCAACGAAAAGAGATTACTTACCACCACCACCACCTCGTCCACCGCCATATCCTCCTCGGCCACCGCCTCGGCCGTATCTGCCACCACCGCCACCACCTCCAAAGCGGGCCATTTCAGCAAGTCTAGGGTCAATCTGTTGCTTTGCTTCTGTAAGAACTGAAACTAGATCACGAGCCTGCTTGCTGTCTGAGAAAAAGTTAGTATGTTGCCAGAAGACTATATCTTTGGGATGTACTCACTGTCAGTTGTGAAAAGAGTAATGGCAGTACCCTTGGCACCGGCACGACCAGTACGACCAATTCGATGGATATAATCCTCGGAATTGTTTGGGTAATCATAGTTCAACACATGGGTAATGTTGCGGACATCTTTATTGATGGGTTAGCAAGAACAAAAAGAATGGTATAGCAACGTTCCAGGGCGGCTAGTGAAGAGCTGCATCGAAATGCATCCAATACTCTCTCTGCATCTGACATGGACTGTTCACTGCGGTAATGCCAGGGTAGGGAATTCACACATCCTGGTCCTCTTGTATTGGGGGGCTTGGAGACAGGCTTGAAAAGAATCAAGAAACGCCAATTCCACATCTTGTACTAAGGAAAGTACTAGTGGGGTTGGAATTATAAGTGTAGCACGAGATGCGCTCCACTCCACATCCAAGACACCCTTGTAATAGAGAACCGAAAGACACGAAAGGACCCGGGCAATATACGCAAACTAGATATAGCCTGAGCGTTGAGAGTAAAGCACTATACTGTAGGCGTCTGGGCGTTGCTGTGCAGGGGAAGGGGGTTTCAATCATACCAATACCACGGGAAGCCACGTCGGTGGCAACCATGATGGGGCTCTTGCCGGTCTTGAACTCGTTCAAGACCCAATCACGCTCATTCTGTTGTTTGTCACCGTGGATAGCTACGAGTTGGTTAGTAGGAGATATAAGATTTGGACTTTGAGAACTTACAGAGCGCAGGCCATCCATCCTGTCTGAGGAAGCGTGTGATATCGTCAGCAACACGCTTAGTACCAGTGAAAATCAGAATCTTGTTGTCCTTATCCTCCATGATCTTCTCAAGGTGCTTGGTCATCTTGTCACGCTTTTCAAACTCAGAAACAACCTCAACAATTTGGGTAATTCTATGGTTAGCAGAAAGTTCGAGAGAACCAATGTTGACCTGGATGAAATCATTGAGGTAATCAGAGGCAAGGGCTCGGACTTCCTTTGGCCATGTTGCAGACCACATGCAAGTCTGTCTGTCAGGTCGAATCTGGCCGAGGATCTTGCGGATTTGGGGCTCGAAACCCATATCCAACATACGATCAGCCTCGTCAAGAACAAGGTAAGTAACACGACGAAGGTTGGTCTTTCCTGATTCAAGCATATCGATGAGACGACCAGGAGTAGCGATACAAACCTCAACACCCTTGGCAAGATCACGGATTTGTCCACCCTTGGGGACACCACCATAGACACAAGTGTTGCGGATGCGTGAGGATTTTCCGAATTTGGTGATTTCTTGTTGAATTTGAACAGCCAACTCACGAGTTGGTGCCAAAACGAGGACGATTGGCCCATCTCCAGGGGCAAGGAGTGGCTGGGCGTTGATGTGGACAATAGCTGGGAGACAGTAGGTCAAGGTCTTTCCTGAACCAGTTTCAGCAATACCAACAACATCGCGACCAGAGAGGGCCATGGGCCAACCCTGCGATTGGATAGCAGTTGGTGCTGGGAAACCTTGAGCTTTGACTTCGCTCATGACATAAGCTGGGAAACCAGCCTCGTCAAAAGTCTCAACTGGCCGTGGAACATTAGTGCCTTGGACGGCGATGTTGTGGTCCTTTCTGAATTTTTGAACATCGGCTTCTGCTCTGTTTGTGACAAGTGGGTCCTCCTTGTAGAAGGATTTTTCGAATTTTGGCATGGCGCTGATGTCTGACAAATCGATCTGGTTAGCAATCGCGACACACATAGGACAAACTCGTTTAACTTACCCCAGCTCTGCTTCTGAAGGCCTGCTCCGAGGTTAGACATTCTGTCTCCTCCAGCTCCGCCGCCGCCATATCCACCACCACCTCCGTATCCTCCTCCTCCACCTCCTGAGTAGCCGTTGACATTTCCACCGCCTCCGCCGTATCCTCCACCGCCACCTCCAGAATATCCGTTACCTCCACTACGCGACATATGTTAGCCAGATTTATCTTTGAAAAGCAATGAAATGAGGGAGTTGTGCCGCTTTGGTTGATGAGGAGATAAGGCCAGCCTAGGGGTGAGCCTCAGCCGATCTCAACACAACCAAAGCCACGGAAAGCGACCGACTGCACAACAAGCAATATCAAGACCGTAGGTTTGTCATACCCATTGGAATATCCACTGGAGTAGTTACTGCGGCCACCATAATTATCGTACCCATTTGAGTAGCCTCCACCGCCGCCACCGCGACCACCGCCGCCATATCCTCCTCCGTAAGACATCGTGCTTTTCTGCGTGAGCGAAAGATCGGATAAGGGTGAGTGTGGTGATGAGATTATATTCGATGGATGAGGTGATCGGATGAACGCGCTTCGAGGTGTGTTGGAAGACGCTGAGCGATGAGGTTGCGATGTTGGAATGGTAGAGGAAGGAGTTTTGCGAAAAAGGTTACTTCTTTGAAAATAATTTGATTGGCGCCTTGCCTGATGGGGACTAGCGTATTGACTAAGCGGCGACCCTTTCAGGGCCCTGCATTTTTCGCTGCGCTGCTTGGTGGCTTGCCCCTGCCCCCCTGCCTTTGCACCTGTCAACTTGTTCCTCACCGACGACTATCAGTCTATCACTGCCCAGAGAGACTTCCCAGCAGATATCAGATACGAGTATCCGATATCCATTCACTAGGACTCCCACTTGCACCCTTTTGTGTAGCATCAAGTGCATGTGCATATACGATCGATAAGTCTATCTAAAGTTGCCCTGGATAAGCCTTGGATCCCATTCATGTTCCACCGCCGCTGAAGGAAGAATCAGGGTGCAAATATTGGACTGAGGCCAAGCCGGGCAGCAATCAACCAGAACTATACTATAGACTAGAACTATTATAGACCATCTCGGATTTGACAACCTTATTAATGCTGCTACCGACTCATAGGACGAAGCCTCTCTCCAACTTTCTCGGAGTTCACGAGCACAACGTTGCGAGTTGTCGATGTGATAGTCTGACTTGCTGGTACTGGTACGGTCTGATGTCGGCATTTCAGTCCATGATGTGTTGGTCTTGTCACCTAAACCCATACGGAGCATTGGGTCGCATCCCCACTTAACCGCATATGTGTAAAATTGGGATTTGCTAGCGTTTTTCCTGACCGTTCTTTCAAGGGAAAATTCCATGTTTTGGAATTTTTCCACCGGGGAATCGGGGAGTAAAACTATGTTGGACCCCTCCTCCCTGGCCGGGGCCACTATCGAAGGATTACGAAGGGAAAGAACAATAGTACCGGTAGCAAAGACTTCGTAACTCTTTACGCTATTCTAGCTTTTGGCCTTTTAATCATTTTCCAAGGTTTGTGATGGGGTGGAAGGTTTTGTGGTTGATTAGTTATCCTACGGTGTGTGCTCCATCATCTACTTTGCGAGTTCCAACAATTAGAACTACAATCGATATTCGATCCCGAGAAGAACAAAACTAAGATATACATGCGTACTTCGATATACTGATGTATTATGAAACTTGCTATTGACTTTGATACCATCTAATCCTACAATCCTCTTTAGTCCTTCATGTTCACGAAGTCTCCCTTATCACCCCAAACCTTCCAGATCCCTCTATCCGAGACTCCTGCACGGAAAAATTCCTAACGCGAAATACTCCCCATATCCCAGAACCCAGTCTCCATCTACAAACCAGAAAATAATCAGTATAAAATCACCCATGTATTCCGGAAAGGATCACATACCTTCGTAGCATGCACGAATATCTTGACCAGTTCCTCTACCCGACTTGGTGACTGCAACACGAGATGTCGTTCCAGAAGTTCTGAATATCTTGTAAGTATCGCCCACCATCAGACATTTATAACCTGCTCACCAGAACCAATCCGTACTGCTTCCGAATAATCATCAGCAACGTAATTCTGAATCCACTTCCAATAGATATTTCCCTCCCGTTTCGTTTTCGGATCAGCATGCAGCCGTTGAGCAATTTGACCATATCCTATGAGACAAGGTGCCATGGAAACTTGAAGGGCTAGCCAGTCTTCGGATTGTCCGATGTCGAGAACATATCTGTATCTTGTATCAGTCCGGGCCTTCATAGCTGTGTTTCGAGAAGTCACCTTGTGTATGCGGTGCATGCTATTCAACTATGTTAGTACCAATCCATACCGGGGACCGGTGAATGGTACCTTGACTCTCTTCTGTAGCTTCCATCTCTTCCTTCGATATACCAAAGCCCTCACAATACCCAATATGCAAAGACATCTCATGGTGGATATGAGCTACTATCTTTGCGGCCTGCAAACTGTCAGTTTCTCCCTATGCCAAGTCACTCGGGTAAGTTTAGCGACTTACAGCACCGATGTCTTCCATCGTTTTCGCTTTGTATCCCGCTAGAGCATTCGCTCTTGCAAACTGGATCTGGTATACATAAATCAGATGAATGCTCAATGTTCGCCTAAACTTCACGCACCAAGTACAGATAATCCTGAATCAAGTAATACTTGAATGACTCAATAGGTAAGGTACCATCAGCCATGCCAGCAACAAAATCATGCTCAGTATGTTCCTTCCAAGCTTCTTGCACATCAGGCCGTTCCAACAGATACTCAATAAAACGTCCACTAAACAAGTCAGCTTGATTCTCCACCCCGGATGTGGAAGAAAGGCACGAGGAATAACTCACGGAGCAAAAGGCAAAGAATACACCGAATGAAAATGGTTAATCGGTCCATTCCCCTTCCCCATCTCAACACTCGTCCTAATACCCGCCTCAACATACCGACAAGCACTCTTCACAGCCCTCACCATCTCCATCCCATTCGCAAGATTCGATGCTATCGCAGCTAACCCCAGAATCAACCTCTATCCTCGTACCTTATTTTTCCAGCACAAGGAAAGGGGACTTACAAGCAAGCGAACACCCCGTCCCATGAGTATTCCTCGACCTCAAATACGGACTCTCGATCATCGTAACCTGGCCCTCTCCAAAAAGAACATCAACCACAACCTCTTTCTCCTCCTCATTCCTCGCTACCGTGCCATCCTTACGAAGAGGGAGATGACCGCCTTTCACCAGAACGTATTTCGGTCCTAGAGATTGCACCAATTTGGCAATTTCTATCATCTCCCCTGAATTCTGCAATCCGCTCGTCGACATACCAGCTTGCGAAAGAATGAGTTTCGCTTCCGGGATATTGGGTGTTACTATGGTAGCTTTTGGGAGAAGAAGGTCAATCAAGTGTCTGACCGCACTTTCCGGCAATAGATGGGATCCAGATGTTGAGACCATGACCTGTTTCCATTAACACTTTCTCCAGATAACCACTATAAGCGTATGGACATACAGGATCAACCACCAAAGTCTTAACATCAAACTTTTCCAGCTCAACAGCAATAACCCTAATAGTCTCCGCCGACGCCAACATACCTACACCAAACCATCAGCCAACACACATACATGCACACTCACACCCACCAAAAAACAGGATACATTGTGAATATGTTCGAAGGAGGAAAAACAGACCAGTCTTCACAACATCAACCCCAATATCACTAACACACAACCCAATCAACTTGCCCACAAACTCCGGAGGCGTATGATGAATATCAAACACACCCATCGTATTCTGAGCCGTAAGTGCCGTGGTGGTCGGCATAGCATAACACCCATGGGCAGCAATCACCTTCTGATCTGCTTCCAGACCCCTGAGCAGGAAATCAGTGAGGTTCGACTCCCAACGGAAAGGGCGAAGGAGAATTTGAGAGAACTTACGCTCCGCCCGAGCTATCGGAACCAGCAATGACTAGGATGCGACCTCTGGCCATTATGAGTTATCGATCGAATAGTTCACGAAGTTCGTGGAATAGAGTTGAATAACTGATCAGCTGGTGTAAAAACAGAGAGGTCCTGTTTCCCAGATTACGTAGCGGTGCGCAAGCGATTAGACTTTGATTGGTCGCTCCTGGCACTAAAGTCTTGGTCTTAATTAATAAACATACCAGTACCTCTACAGTTCCCACGGCAAGTTCAGTTAACTCAAATTTTTATTTTAAGTTTGGTATCAATTCCACACCTGGCGAGGCAATCGGGAATATCAAGAACTATGTACCTTCTTCCTATCGTTACAATAAACCCCTTTTTTAGTTCTCTCATGTAAAAATGAGACCAAGTAGTTCAACGGCTTTGACCTACTTGCCTCTTAGAATAGCAAATTCCATTTGTACAAACAAGATCTCCTGCTCGGCTCCCAGCAGGTCCTTCGTATCTCTGCGAAAATGAAGAAAAAAACAGCCTATGCATTCGCACGAAACAATTTTTTCTTATGAAGCATGCGTGATATACAGTCTTATCTCGGAGTAAGGTTCGTACTGTGCCATCTGATGCGCGATGCATCCGCATCATAGAAATCGTGAAAAAAAGGGAAAAAAAGTTCAAATTGAAAGAAAAGAAAAGAAAAAAAGAAAAAACTTTTGGGGGGTGGTATTTCCTGTAATCCAAACGCCGAAAATAAGAAGAATGAATCCTTTCAAGACCATTTTGAGAAGTCAAGATCCTCTACAATGCTTCCTTCCGTGCTACTAACACCAACTTCTGTATTTACAGGTGACAAGAGTGAAGACCGCTGAGAGACTGGCTCGCTGTTAGAGCTTGTCAAGAAAGTTGCTACCGACGATCTTCGAAGGTTTTGGATACTGTCTCGTACGTTTCCGTTAGATGGCACTGGTGTGGACAGAGGAGTCGAGGCCGCCTTTGGGTTGTATTTTTCTCGCAGCTTATTGATTTCTCGGAGCCGGTTGCGCCAGGATGACACATGCTCACCCCCTTCTCTGTTCGCCCACACAAGTGAAAACACGGAAGCGTTAAGAGCTAGGAGCCGTATAAAACCAGGCAAAACAGCCAAGCTCATAATTTTGGTCTCCGCAGCTGGGGAGATCTCTGGGAAACCGGGTTTGCTCATGACCTGAACCTTGTAGAATGCATTCTTTGCGTTTGCCTCTGTACGCGTTCGAGTCGCAACAAAAGAAGCTCTCGATTCTGGCGTGATTACGATATTGACATAATTAAACTCGGAAGGAAAGGTGTCGAATTTGAATGGTAAACCGGAATTGTTGAAGATAATATTGACAAAATCGTTTCCGATATGCCGTTTTTTACCGATGCATTGAGGGTCACTCTCTAGGTTTGTTGGAATTTGTGTTGTGACATGGAACACGATCTCAGTGACTCGGTCACGCCAACAAAAAGCATACTGTCCATCGCTGTCACCAACTCTATCTAACCCCTGAGTGTTGAAAGTCGCACCCTTCAACTTGGTTAGGGTTCCAAGACCGGAAAGAAAACTGGTGTAGTCGCCACTTCCCATGATGTTGGCAAGGATCTCGACCTCATGCGTCTGGTTCTCTGCAATGTAAATGACTCCAACTTTATGGCCATCTACAGTGAAATTACGATCAAATGTTTTGATAGCACGTTCGAGGCCCGGGTTTTCTGTTGGTAGAGGAATTGGTCGAACTGTGTCTCCAACTTGAGGTACTGAAGCCGTCAATTGAAGAAGCAGATGGCTTGGGAAAACCATCTTTGCATCTGACAATTTGGTGTCGCGAGTTGGCTCATTGGGATATTGGGTCTGATGAGGAGGCGGGCGACTGAATCTCTCTCTGATAATGTAGCATGATGTGCCAGATGGCTGGCGCTTTTTGATTTGAGCCCATCCCCCTCGTGTGGCCTGCTCCACTGTCACGATACTTTTACCAACAATCCATCGCTTCTTCTCGATCTTGCCAAAGCGCTCACTGGTAAAGGTAGGATCAGCAGCGGACTCGTCCACGTCAGCATAAGTGACACGTTGCATGAAATCGAGTGTAACCTGCGCTTGCTCATCGATGCTTTCTTTGTTGAATGAATCTGTTGAGACCAGGTTTCTAGTGATCCAGCTGACATGGACAGCACGGTCTGTCAGCTTTAAAGAGAGAAACCAAAAGATTATGACGTGATATGCCAGAGCATACACATACTGTGGAAGGTCATCGGAGCTATTTGGCTGAAAGTTACTTTCTGAGAGGCCGTGATCCGTAAGAGCAGGTCCCGAGCTACGGGCGATGGAAGAGCTGCTACGAGCAGAGATATCCTTGGATTCCTTGTCATTTTGGTCACGCACGTATTGAAGATAGCGAAAGCAGATCGCGAACACTGTGCGGTATTCTTCTTCTCTGAAGTTGACGTAGAGATCGGGCAGTCGAGCAAGGCAAGCTAGAAATTCGAGAATATGTATCGCTACATGAGACTGTGTAATAATCGTTGACATTTTTTGCAAAATGGTGACGAGCTGCTTACTCGTCGACCCAGGTATTTCATGGCTGCATATAGTCAAAGCGTGAATACAACATTTTGCTGTACGTTCCCACGTGGACCCGATACCTTGGAGAAATGTTCGAACGATATCGTCCTGCTCAGGTTTTGAGAAATTTTGGTGGTACCCCATGGTCATATTCAAGACTTGGAATAGACATATCGCAACATCGGACTTCCGAAGACCTGAAGATATAGGGGGTTCTTGAAAACTATTGTTTTTGAGCAAATCACACAGCACCTCTCTCAGACGCCGGATCTGAGTAATTGAGCCTCTGAAAAGTGCTTGGTTGGTGAGCTGTGAAGGGAGGTGAACCAATATAAAGCTGTATACCTCCCAGTCGCATCCGTTTTGAAGCAAGCCCGCGATGGTGTCGAGATATGTGCCAATATCGAGAATTCTCTTTTGAAGAACTTTTGGCAATGGCTCGTCACATTTCTCCCCGTCTGGGTTTTGCGCGTGGGTCAAAACATTACCATCTGCTCGGACCCCTTTGTAGTCGTTTTGTGGGTCTTCAATTCCGACCAAAGAGACCAATAACGAACTTGCTTTCTTAAGAATATCCTCAGGCAATGCCTCAGAATCTGGATACATCCACATCTGGTGATTCCGTTGGATCGTTCTCACCAGTCCACTGCTGGATCGATGAGACTGTCTGGCAATAGAGGGAGCCGAGGTATTCCGTGAACCCTTGGAATTCGACAAATCGTCGTTTCGTGACACACGATGCTGGTGTGCCGCTTCATCGGCTGCTTGCTTCCTGGCAAGTGACGCTGACGTACGAAATAACGAGGCAGCAAGACCATCGGATTCTGTGGAAATAACCAAGTGAATTCTATGAGCCCAGTCCGCGCGCAACCGAAAGAGCATTTTCATGGCTGATAAACGAGCATCTATCTCACACTCGTGAGATCTAGCGATCCAGAGCAGTTCTTCAAATACTTTAACAGACTTGTAAGCAGAAGTGTCCATTACTCTCATGAAGATCTGAACGAGGCCCTTTGTGACAACATTGGATGGTGTCTGAATGATGCTGCTTTGAGTTGGTGAGGTTATTGGCCTACTTATGCTGAGCAAACTCTGCCGAGAGGAAGGAGGCGATGCAAGTGGGGATTGAAGACGATCACTCATGACACTACCGCGAACTGCGCGAATGACATAATCGAAGAGAGAATTGTCAGCGTTCCGGGCTACAGCAACAGCGAATGCCACAAGCTTCTGCAGAATCGCAATGTCTTTCTCGTCTCCAATGTTATCCAGAATAGCGGAAACGAATGTTTGGACAATGTCGGGATCCTCGTGGTCGTCCAACATCTCAATGACGCCAAAAACGTCTGTGACGGCCTTGAGAGCATGAAGCCGGATATGTGCAGGTTGGGATCGGTCACCAAAGAAGGCTTCGACAATAGTATTGACATTCGTCTTCCAGCCCAAGTCTGAAGGATAGCAGTATCTATATTCCGTATAATGATCGATGACTAACTTTGCGCATGATTCCGGAAGATGTGCATGAACTTTCGCAAAGAATCTGATACAGTCTTCCCTTTGGAAGAGGCCATTGCCAGGGATTTCAACTAGAAGCTTCTCGATTCTGACAATGAAATTATACAAGCTCTGCGCCAAGTTTGTCGACTGCCCAGGTTCGCTTCCACCATCGCTCGTTCCATGAGGACTTGATACTTGTGAACGGCTAGGGACTGGACGGCCATCGGATGTCTCCAATGCTCCTTCTGAACACTTAATGACCACCTCAAAAAGTAAGGTCCAGTCCTCTTCCATCACGTTATGCTTCAATTCTTGGCATTTGTTCCCGAAGATTGATAAAACAAGTTCGAGTACATCTCCATCAATTTTCGCGTGGTGTCCAAAAGCAGTGACACTATCAAGGGCTCGAACCAACGCCGTAAAAGGAACCAGGGGAAAGCTGTCTTGGCCATTTTTGGCAAATAGCTTACGTAATAGACACATGGCCCCCCGGATTTGAAGGTAATTTTGGTCGGCAGTCTTTTCCCCATGAGAAGGCTCGTGGAGGATTTCCAAAAGGATACGGACGACTGCTTGGCCGTTATGAGATCGGGAGAAATTACGAAGGATTTTCCATGCTTTGGTTTTTAGATCATCGGATTTGGGAACTGAGGGGGATCTGGGAATTGGAAGAACCGACGAGAGAACTTTGACGCAATCCGGTAGCTTGTAGCTTGGTACTTCTCCGTATGTCATGATTGCATCTACAACACTAATGCAGGCCTTCAGATCATCCGATAGTGGCGTGCGGCTGCATATACTGAGGATTTCCTCAAGCAATTTTGCTGTAACTTCTTCACTTGAAACAACGAAGCTGAATTTTATGAGGTCGGTCAAGAAGGCAAAGAGCCCGTAAAGAATGGCTTCCTCCTCTAGGGGCGTTGTAGAAGGATTTTTGAGGTGAATCTTTCGAGCATTTGCTGTCAGGTTGAAAGCAGTGTGCATCCATGTAGTCAGGAGTGGTATGGCGCGATAGTGGAAGCCCGACAAATCTTTGCCATGTTTTGAGAGCTCCATCACAGATCTGACTTGCAAGTGGAAGTCTTGTGGATTTGCTGGTGCGGTGAGAACCGAGAAATAGGCCATGCGCTCTGGGTCTGTCGAAGTCGAGTTCTTAACGCAAGCAGTCAATAGTCCAAATCCTGCCTGCCGTGCCTCTCTAGACTTGGTAGACTCGATGAGATCCTTTCCTTCGTTGAATATAGCTGTCACCTGCTGACCATCAGTACCATTTTCTAAATATTTCCAATGATGCTTACAGCATTAAGAGGGTAATTGTCGATGGCATAGCGTAAACTTTCAGCTGCCGCAATGCGCCCCGGTAGAGAATTCCCGATCTTCAATTGCTCATATAGCTTCTCGTAATTCGGGGGCCCTCCATATATTGCAGATTGCAAGTTTCCAGCGGCAGTCGGCTGCTGAGATGATTGGGCGGTTGATCGGGCATTATTAGGACGGGATAGCTTGCTGCCAGTCAGGCTCTTGAAAACACTAGCAAGTCCGCTCGAGGGTTTGGGTTCGGCAGGTTGGGGTGGGGGTGGGGGTTGGGCTATATCTCCTGAAGCTGGAGACATAGAAACTCGGGTGTTCTTGGGNCCGCTCGAGGGTTTGGGTTCGGCAGGTTGGGGTGGGGGTGGGGGTTGGGCTATATCTCCTGAAGCTGGAGACATAGAAACTCGGGTGTTCTTGGGCGACGGCGGTACAAAATAGTAGTCTTCAGTTCGCGCTTCAATTAGGAGTATTAGCACTTCGTCCATCTCGAGAAATTGGGATGGCAGATGGACAAGAAAGGAAAAAGCGAAAATCGCAACGTGAGCATGGAGGGGTGGTGGTTGTGGTTGTGGTCGAGTGGCAGCAGCCTCAGCAAGCTCGATCTAATCCATCGGCGGGCGGGGTGACGCGACATCCAGGTACCGAGGAGCTGCACTTGTTTTAATGAAAGAAAGATCGGTTCACTCACCTCGGGGTCGGCACCAGCATCAGCGTCAGCGTCAGCGTCAGGGCGCGAGCGAGAGCGGAAGGTCCACGAGCGAGCTTTGGTTTGGTAGCAGATCGATGCCGCGCATAGCAGATGTGGTTGTAGGTGCGCCAGAAAATCTTCGAGATAAGAAGGGAAGGTCGATGCGCTTAGCTAAGTAATGATGAAAATCTCGCAATGCAATGCCATGCCATGCCATGCAATAAACCCAAGAAACAAAACGCCCGCGATACCAGAATGAGGAGGATCCGATGAGTGGTAAGGACTAAATGACAATAGCTCAATATCCCATGGAGGGAAGAAGTGTGGAAGAGGATAACCAGATGATGTCTGAGTAGTGGTGGTGGTGGTAGAGAGATAATGAAGGCTGGCCTAGCCTGTCGGCCTTGTCGGTCAGGTGCAAACCTTCCGCCACCCATCAGCTACCCAATCATCCACACCACACCACCTTGCTCCGATTTTGCTGTGATTTTGATTAGGGCGGCAATGTCAGCACTTGGCCTCTCAATCATCGTGTAACTCTGCAGTTACAGCCATATAAATCGACAATTCATGTGACATATAAATAAGTAGTGGTCTACAACTGGATTCAGAGACTACATATACCTATATTCACACTATGATGTTTTCTTAATGCATTAACCATTTACATTTCATTGAAAGAATCAAGAATATAAATTCACGCTGCTTTGTATGCCATGTCGGAATAGAACCGCTGCCTCCCGTCTTTGTCCCTGGTGACGCGGGGATGCGGCTGATACTCGGCTCAAGGCAAGGCTGTGGTTGTGGTTTGGTTGTGGTGCGTTGCGATCTTGAAGCTGTTGCTATCGCGCTGCCAAAACAAAACTTGAGAGATTCTTATTGACATCTCTCAGACACTCCTCCCACACCAGCACATCTCCAAACGACCTGCAACACCATGGCTTTGGATTTGCAGACTGTTGCGCAGCTTCTCCAGGCCACTCTCGACCCACAACAGCACAAACAAGGTACTTTGCTTCAGCCAGCCCTTCGCTTTTTCCCTTCGTGGTTGTGTTTGCTAATTTTGGATAGCTGAGATTGCCCTCAAACAGGAGCAGGAGAAACCCAACTTCTCAATACTTCTTCTCCAAATTCTAGCTACCGAAGCCCTTCCCCTCAACACACGACTTTCAGGCGCCTTGTGCTTCAAGAATTTTATCAAATTCAACTGGGTGGTAAGCTCCATCCACTCCTAAGTAGCCCCGCGGTCCCGACTAAACCACATACATAGGATGAAGATGGAACATATAAGCTCCCAGAAAATGAGGTTGCAACTATCAAGAATCAGTTGATTGGTTTAATGACCTCGGTGCCTGCGAGTATACAGTCGCAACTGGGAGAGTCGATTAGCATTATCGCAGATTCTGATTTCTGGGAGAGATGGGATACTCTGGTTGATGTGAGTGAAGAGGATCCTCTGGAAGGCAGAATTACATACTGATTATGGATCAGGATCTGATCTCACGTCTCACATCTGATAATGCAAAAGTCAACCTTGGTGTATTGGAAGTTGCCCATTCAATCTTCAAGCGGTGGAGACCTCTCTTTGCGTCAGATGATTTATACACTGAAATCAACCATGTGCTGAACAAATTTGGGCAGCCATTTGTGGAGCTATTGGCGGTAGGCTATCTTGGACACGTCCTCTTTCGTTGCACTGACATGCCTTACAGAACACTGATCGGCAAATTGAGGCAAACAAGAATAATAAGGATGTCTTGAAGCAGCATGTTGAAGTCCTTAATCTCCTGGTAAAGTTATTCTACGATCTTTCTTGCCAGGACCTCCCTCCGATCTTCGAAGAAAATCTTGCCCCGGTCACCGGTCTTCTACATAAACACTTGACTTATGACAACCCTCTACTCGCGACCGACGACGATGCAGAGTCCGGACCTCTGGAATTTGTGAAAGCAGGGATAGCGGAGGCCATGACTCTTTACATGCAAAAATACGAAGACGCATTCGGAGAACTGTGCCAGCCTTTCATTACAAGCACTTGGACCTTGTTGACAACTATCGGTCCAGAAACTAAATTTGACATTCTTGTCAGCAAAGCCCTCCACTTTTTGACCGCTGTCGCTAGTATCGGTGCACATGCACAGAATTTCAACAACCCAGAAATCCTCGGGCAGGTGGTGGAAAAAGTTATCCTTCCAAATGTCAGCCTGAGAGAATCGGACATTGAACAATTTGAAGACGAGCCAATTGAATATATTAGACGAGACCTCGAGGGATCCGATACGGACACACGACGAAGAGCAGCCACCGATTTTCTTCGAAAGCTTCTCGAGAATTTTGAAGAGTTGGTCACAGGAGTTGTGTCGCAGTACATTCAACACTATCTCGATGCGTTCAAGAAAAACCCCGGCGATGAATGGAAGTCGAAAGACACCGCGATTTACTTGTTCTCGGCAATTGCTGCCAAAGGAGCTGCTACAACCAATCAAGGCATCAAAACTATAAACTCGAGAGTCGATGTTCTCGATTTCTTTGAGAAAAACGTGGCTCAGGATCTCATGGCCAGTAGTGGTGTGGAACCAATTATCAAAGTTGACGCTATCAAGTTCCTTTACACTTTCCGTCGACAATTGACAAAAGCACAGTGGGTTTCAGCGTTCCAACCACTCGTCCAGAATCTAGCCTCTTCGAATTATGTGGTGTATACCTACGCGTCGATTGCTGTGGAAAGAGTTCTATTTCTTACAGATGATTCCGGCAAGCACATTTTTGGAAGAGATGATGTTGTGCCATTCGCCAAGGACCTCTTAGAGCACTTATTTCAATTAATAGAGAGAGATCCGGCCCCAGAGAAGCTCCAGGAGAACGAATTCTTGATGCGCTGCGTTATGAGAGTTTTAATCGTCATCAAGGAAAGTGTGGTCCCGATGAGCGACAATCTGCTCCAGCACTTAATCCATATCACCCACATTATTGGCAAGAACCCAAGTAACCCACGGTTCTACTACTACCACTTCGAGACGCTAGGGGCTCTTGTCAGATTTGCTGGACCATCTCAACCCGAAAAGTTTGAAGCTGACCTGTATGAGCCTTTTGCTCGTATATTAACTGAGGATGTCCAAGGTTGGATTTAGCACATTAGTATAATGTCTTAAGCTAACTTGTGCGTCAGAATTTATGCCTTACGTCTTTCAATTATTTGCAGCACTCCTTGAATCACGGCCACAGGGATCCTTGTCTCCTTATTACCAAGCACTAGCGTCCTCTGTTCTTATTCCAATCACTTGGGATAACAGAGGCAGCGTACCAGCATTAGCGCGACTGCTGTCCTCCATAATTCCCAGAAGTGCTGGGGATATTGTGTCAAACAATCAGTTGGAACCAATCCTTGGCATTTTCCAAAAGCTCATGTCGAAGAAACAGACTGAGCTATATTCTTTTGACATCCTAGAAGCTCTAGTCACCTCTGTTGATGTGTAAGTCTTGCTTAAAGCATTTATTTAGCTTAACCTATTCTTCGCCTAATGGAGTGTGGCGCTAACATGACTTACAGTGCCGCGTTCCAACAATACTTTCCCACGGTTCTCACTCTAATTTACACACGCCTCAACAGCAATCCTCCGCCACCGGAAAAATTTAAGCAGCGGTTCGTGAGATTTTACCACCTCATTGCGTCTCACTATGAGATTGGTCTTGGGGTTGATTTCTTCGTCGCCAATACCAATGCTATTCAAGAGAAGATCTTCGCTCCTATATACTTGACAATAATTCTACCAACAACCCAACAGCTAGCTCGTCCCCTCGATCGAAAACTCGCCGTCGTAGGCCTCACCAAAGCACTAACAGATTCGCAAGCCTTCGCCGTTACTTACTCCAAATCAGGCTGGGCGAAGACGTGCGAGGCACTGCTAAAAATCCTTGAAAACCCCCCTATGCCTATTACAGCGGATGATATTGTGGTGGAAGTTGATGTTGATGATTTGAGCTTCGGTGTCGGATTTACACCACTGAACGCGTGCAAAAAGCAGCTCAAAGATGAGTGGCCGGCAGTTACAGATGTAAAGAGTTGGGTTGGAGAGTATCTAAAGGCAGCAGATGCACGACATTCAGGGGCCATCGGGGGTTTTGTGAACCAGCGGCTGCCAACCGAGGCGAAGGATATTTTGCTATCCTACATGCAATGAGGAATGAGGCTACGAAGGGACTTTTGTGAAGCGATTGACGAAGGGGCGCAGGAAACATGGATGCACATGTAATCTTCTAGGGTCAAAATATTAAGCAAGGTGAGCGAGAATATTCGGAGTATTGCAATTGGGATTTGTCGTCGAGGAGAAAAAAACCAGCATTTAGATAGTATGACGACTCCTCTTTTTCAGGTAGCAGCAAAAATTCCCCATGATTATTTAGAATTCAGACATCAGAACTTTTCTCTCTATAATGACTTGTTTGTCCTCGGCGCTCGTGTTCTTAGTAGAGAATAATCCTGATGGGCGATAGTTAAATAGAAGATAAGTTTCTGAATTTTTGTCTAGTGCCATCCACAACTCACCACCAAACTAAATACAGACATCAGGCTAATTTTCAATCCTGGCCTAATTCTCATTCAATGATGTTTTATTCATAGTCGACGTTCCGCGCTATCGATTGAGAGTCTGAGCATGTGCTTCTTCTGAAGATACTGATTCAGTGGAGGGTCTAGCCTGACCGAGCCTACCATTCGATGTGATCAAGCGACCAGAATTCTACCCTAGACTGAGACGTCCTGCTACTGTACCTTCATTCTGCCTAAATGAACCCCCACGAACTGATCTTGGAAACTGGGTTTAGGCAACTTCGGGTTCAATTTGAGATCTATTGCTTAGCACGTGGGATAATTGACTTCTCAAGGGGGGGGG